AATCTCATTAAATCAGCGGTATAAGCAAATGTTTGCGAGGTTAAGTAGCCCAGTTAGTCTCTAATTTGCATTACTGATCAATTCAAAAGCTCTTTTATTGATGTCTTGCTGTACCACTGTACGAGTGCATGGCCATGCATAGGTAATTGTGTACGTGTTTATGGGGATTACTCTAGTAAAAACTTGACACTAAGCTGTGTCGTATAATGTCTTATGGTAATATATTTATCTTAGAATTCTCTACAAATATGAAGAATCCAGTTAAACATGATAGCAAGAAATTGACTAGTGCTAAATAAAATGTACTGAACACGTAGATTCATCTTTATATGTGTCAGATCATCCTCCAAGTCTTTTTCCCAAGCTAGATTGGGTCGGCTTTTAGTCTGCTAATCGCTTTCTCGCTTTCTTTACATAAAGCGACTGTCATCATGACCTCCGTAATCTAAGTATTCCCACGATTTCGAAGTTCTGCAGATAGACTGTTGTCAGAGTTTTAGAGCTCCTACTCGGCAGTTGGAGCCTTAAAAGAGACCCAATTGGTGGTCTCAATGCGTTTAGAATGGTCAACCATCCATAGACTGACGCCGTCTCAGGTACCAGTAGTCGGGGAAGGTGTACCCTAGAAAGGAAATCCCTGGTGCCCCGACGTACCTCGGGCCATCTACGGCGGGTAGACGACCCCCATGTTCCCTCTGTGCTCTCGTAAGCGCACGCGCGCTTCGCAACGCGCTCGCCGCCACCCCGGCTTGCTTCTGCTAGGGTGTCAGATGGCCTCATCTGTCACTCTAGCAGAAGCGACCTCCGGCGCCTGCGATACCTGGCCCGTTCCCGAGCCTGGCGGGCCGGGTGAGTTCTAAACCTTTCCCGGTCCCGCTCCGCCATCTCCTTCGCAAGCATAACTTGCTCGCAGAAGGAGCCGCAATCAGGTTATCGAGCGAGAAAACTCCCACTCCGATGGCCGCCACGAGGTCTCGCCTCTGCTCCACCACGCATTCTGCCAGCGTGTGGAGCGCCGTGTCCACGGTCCGACCATCGCAGTGGTGGCACTCAGGCGTTGGCTCCTTGCGGATCAGACACAGGTGATCCCCGAAATATCCTTTCCCAGTGATCACCTGCGTCAGTCGGTATGAGAGGGTCCCGTGATGCCTCTCGAGCCAATCCTCCATAACGGGTCTTACCGCCGCGATGACGGCGTGCCCGATCCATAGACTAACCTGGCTATTATTATGGCTATATTTTATTGTTTAACTTTGCAATGTGCTAACCTACTTAGTTACCACTTATTCACAAGCTTCTAATATGCCTCAGATATTGTATTGAAATAAGTACATACTTATTTGTATACGTAAGCTTAAGTACTATTATAAATCATTACATGTTTGCGTTCTGTTCAATGGGCAAACAAATTTCCGTTTTTGATCATGAGTTGCTTGATATAAAATGAGGTACAAACAATCATAACTGTGTCCTAGCACATCAATTTGACTAACGACGTAGGCTATTTATGGTGACACAGAGTTCGCAACATGACAATAGCATGGTTGTAACAGTGTACGCACTCCGCCCTCAGTTACATGATTCTGTAAACTGTTATTTAAGAAATGGGTCCCGAGGTATGTAGGTACTGATTATGAGTCTCCATTGTTTGAACATGCATGACAAAAGTAAAAATCTGAGACTGGTAAGAAGCACGCTACCTTTAGTACCTAGATTCCTTATATACGAGTACATATTTGTTTGCTCTAACAGAAATATTTGTATAGAGTTTTTTAGCAAACATTTCATTTCAATTTTAGCGCTTAACAAGAAAAAATTAAGTTCTCAAATGCCACAAAAATGCAATTCTGATCTTATTTATCTGTATTTGTAAAATAAATAATTGTTTAGTGATATTTTTAAGAAAATCTTATTCCATTGATATGCTTAAAGCTAATTTACCAATGACGTAGCTGCATATTTTACGTAACACGTTCGTAACGTAACAAATTGCTTCTTAACACGCTTCTAATAGCTTGGTATTTATGTATGTACTCGTATGTATGTATGTAACGGAATCTTCGAACGTGATTTTAAACCACTTCAAAACGTCGAATTGAATTGAAACTTCTCACACTTGTCAAGGACCGATGTCAATGCAATAATTTAAATAGTTTGATCCATTATCCTGATCAGGACATACAGAATTATTGGATTTTTCAATACTTAAAAATACGGTAGTGTCTTAATCTATGTACTAAGAAGTGATAAACTTGTTACTTTTAAATCTTTATAAGATAATAATCATCATCAATGACTAAAAATGGAAAAACAAATTATAGTTTAAAAAAGCAAAAAAGAACACGCTTTTGTAGCTTTCCAAGGTATTTTATAATATAATAACTTTACTTTTACTAATATTTGTCAATAAAATATTTTTAGAACAATTGAGATCTAGCACCCGACGCTTTTTAACGATAAAATGATTTTTCTTTTGAACTCGCAGAAAATTATTTCCTACTTTTTAGTTCTTAACTTTCGGCAAAGAATTTTCATATCGTGTAATGCAATCTTGATTCGAATTAGTCATATAGTCGTATATACATTTTAATATGTATTTACCCATCCGTAACTAATTTTATCGTGGCTGAGTCGTTTTGTTGTCATTACCATGGCTCTTATGGCAATGAGCTTTGAGGCCACGGTCTAAAAAAAAAACACGATGTTTGCGACGTTAAGTCTACCTAATTTTATTAAAGGTAGTTACGATCCCTGTTAACTTGGCTCTGCGAATGCAGCATGTTATAAGTAGGTATAAAATTCTAGGGAACATGGGGTTCCCACACGGGGGGGGGTCGTCTACCTGTTGTTGTAGATGGCCCGAGGTATGTCGGGGCACCAGGGACTTCCTTTCTATGGTATACTTGGTTCCCCGGCTAGTACCCGAGACGGCGTGCGACTAAAAGTCGGTTCGAGTCCGACATGCCACTGATAGGTGGTATCCGAGGGGATTTCCGCACGGAAAAAAAAAGGTATAAAATTCTTGACGAACTTGAACGCAAGTCCTTTCTTTTGTACTCAAAGAGGCTATGTTTAATATTTGTTGTTAATCGTTTGTAAATTGTTGGTTTGTAATTTTTTAGCATGATTTATGTTTGTTTTTATTATGTAACTTTTAAGTAATAAGAACGTTTATCAAAGGCTGTTTTGATTATAGTTTTGAATCAGTGTCTTTATCTTAAATTATTTTAAACATTTATTAGTTTGACTGTTGAGTTCTAGTTTTGGCTTCAGCAATAGAGTTTGTATTCAATTATGGCGGTGGTCCCAGTAGCCGGCAGAAAAATATTGCAATTAAATAATCCGGCAACTGGGATCCCGGTCCTAGTTAGTTTCGGTCCACATCACCGGAACCCTCATTTAATATAGGTACTCGTAGTAGTTAATTAATATTTAGTTTTGGTGTTTGTCTATAAGTTGTACAATATACGGTTTTGACGTAGGAAGGCCAAGCTTTGGCAGGTTTCGTCGCTTTTCACTGAGTAAGTGAAAAAACTGACTTTATGTTAGTGAAAAATGTTTTGCTTAAAATATTTTTAAATCAAATGTTGTGACGCAGTAATGCCTTGTTAGTAAATAACTTGTCCCCGTTCTATTGCAACATATTTTTATAATATGCCACATAAACTTGAATTAGCATGGTGTTGAAATCAAAGCGGATAATTAAAGTTAATTGAGTTCTTAGTACGTCTATTCAATGACAAGCTTCGCTTTCGCTTCACCTTAGTTTTTGTTTTGATCGATGATGACTAAAAAATGTTATATACGTTATGTATATTAAATTTTGCACTAGTTTGTCAAGTCTAATCGTTGATAGTCAGAAGATCTCCGATTGTCTTAGCCCCTTTGCATTGCGTAGATGTATCTTGAGTCGGCCTACCCTATCGTATATAACTTGGAGAGTGCTCCGAAGAATTGTTTTGACTAAAACCGCCCGCAATTTTCCGCCATCGTTCCACATGACAGAAGTTTCGTCCCCATCACAGGATAATTAGCACTACACCACTGTGCGCTTTTCAAGACACTTTTTACCTCGCACAACCAATCTGTTGAACAAATTTTTGTCTACGGTATTGCCAGACTGATACGACCTTCCAACATCGAAGAAAAGGCGCACTCACACCTCAAAGGCTGGCAACGCACTTGTTTTGAGTTGCAGGCGTTCATGGGCGTGCCCCTTTTATCGTAAAAAAGGTTTTCACTATCAATTTCCTTGTTCGTCAAAGTCAATACTCTAGTTTGATTAAAATCCAATTTTGTCAGTCATTGATAAATAAAACAACACTAAGTGGGTATAATCTTTAAAATTATGTTTGATTCCTCGTACCGACATTTGCAAAATAATTCAATTACATTTTTGGTTCTTATCTTATTTGCCTCAAAACTAATTCGGTTAAAATAATTAGTTTTACCTGTAATTCTTTCACATTTATAAATACAATTAAGAATTGATAGACCCTATTCACCATTATGTCTTGAATTATGTCCAGGACCAGGTCAATAAGTTTAATAATCTGTCGCTATTACTTCCAAACATATTTGTCCTACATAATCTCGTCTAAAAAAGATATTCAAACCAGAATTTCTAACGACATACTACGTATCATAGGAAGATCTCATAGAATCCAGTAAACTCGCTAAGTGTAGCTTTACAATAAAGGTATATGTGTATTATAGTCTCAATGTGTATTGGTCAATAGAGAATCGGTCGATATAGAATGGTAATCTTATTGTATTAATAACATTACTATTCTATATTGACCGACCAACTAGTAAGGCTGTTAAATTTAGTTCAACCTTCAAACATTACTGTTTAAACATTTCCCAATCGATTAACATATGAAGACGATAAGGAAAATACCTTCGGTTAATGTTTAAAAAACGCCTGTTCCTCGAACACCTTGACTCTTTTTTGCAATAACACTTTAACACTGTGCTAATGATAGGGTTCTTCTTTCCAGATTTGGTCCCAGCGCGGTTCAACATCGCCCTGATGATGTTCTTTGCGTGTTGGATCAATTACATGATGAGAGTCAATATGAGTGTTAATATTATCGCCATGGTACCCGATACTTCTGGATCTGCCTCGTGAGTATAAGATATTATAATATGTGCATTCATTGATTTATTGAAGTTCAATATATACTTAATGTTATTGTTTTTATCTATTTCTTTACTGTATTTTAAGTTCAACAGAGTTGTTGACGTCTCTTCCTATTGAATTTCTACACAATAGCCAATATCTGAATCTTTATAAAGAATTGAAGTTGAAATTTAGTTTTTCTTGTGTAAAATCGTTTGTGGTTTAGATTATAGCCGTGTTTTGAAACTACTCATCACATTTTACAAAAAGAAAATAAACTTAACTATAAACAATTCATTTCTATACAACTTAGATCGAAGTATCCGGTTTTTTTTTGATAAAGTCCCTTAAAATCTTTAACCACACGTAAGAGAAAACCATTTACCTTTAACTACTTTTCGCAATCATGTCCTGACAGGACAGGACAGTAGTGTGTAGTAGCAGTAGTATTATTAGTAGTAGTAGTAGAAATTACTGAACATATAGCGTAGTGGTTTAAGCGGTCGCCACGCCGCTGACTACTACTCGGAGTGTTGTGGGCCGCTCCCCACATGGCACGACACTTTGTGTGGTCCACAATTTGTTGTTCTGAGTCTGGGTGTTCTTTTTTGTTCGTTTTAGGTATGTTTGTAAAGTCCCCCGCGACACAGGATATATTGCTAATGCGGGCGTTGTCTTTCCAACTGAATTTGAATTTGAACGGATTTGAACTGAATAAGGGTCGTTCCAGCGTGGTTCCTTCAACAAACTGGATGGGTCACTGTACATTTCTATAAAGTAAGCCCTCACTGTACAATTCTTCATAAATTTCGTAGGTTGAAAACTGATATAAATTTAATGTATGTAATGGCTTAATCTTCACTAGTTCACTTCGTTTCGCCACAACGGCATCTGAATGTTGTGAAAAACTGTTGATTGAAACAGTTGGAGAAGTTCGATTGTTGGAGATAGTGGCAACATTCAGGTATGAACTGCAGTTCTGCATTAACTGCAATTTATACCTGCGTATATAGGCAAAATATGCACTTATATATTACACACACTACACTTATTTCCAACGTATTTTGAACGTTTTTTTTGGAAAACCCCTTAGGATCTCCTGGTCCTTGGGGATGCAGGAGCCAGGATTATAATCTAGTAGTTCCTGAGATTAGTACGTTCAAATAAGTAAATAAACACTATAGCTTTATATTATTATTATTATAGTTTGGTTTCTTAATTCTATTTTGGAGCCCATGGACAAAAGCAGAATAACATTTTAAAATATCAAAGAGCATAATTCTATTTAAATTAATTCAAGGCTGGTATAAAATATAAAATAGTTCGCCGATTCTAGATCGGCTTATTCTTTTAATAATACATATGCAATGAATGAGGAAAAATATTGTTAGTGAAGTTTATTGCAGTCCTTAAACCCAATACGTTATCTACGCGTGACTTGCGCAGTATCTGATAGACCTCGTGTAATGTTGGTATCGCTCAAGAAGATTATGATTGTAAACCCACTTCTGAGGACAACTGTAAAATAAGATGAAAATAAACATTTAGAATTTACAAATAAAATTTTAATATATCTCAATATGCGGTGTATGCCAACACCATTTTTTGTCACATATAGTCATAATAAGAAATGCAGCGACTATAAATTATTGATTATAATCAGAAGGATAGTTAGGTCCCAGTTTCAATTTTATTTAATCATAGAGTGTATAGATCCATTTCGGACGGAGGGAGGGACGCCAAAAAACAATTTGCAACTAAACTAATTTTAATTTAAGGTTTGGATAAAAGTAAATGATTCTCCAAATGGACACGGAAGTTTTTGATATGAGTGTTACAATTTTGTTTAAGTAAGATGTATTGCTGTTTGATTTTGACATACGCATCGTTCAATATAAAGTAATATACGTATGATTCGCACACGGCCATTGCTAAAGCGGTAGTGGACCGTGAAGGCACTATGAATCAACGTATTATGATGCTAATATAAGTAAGTATCAAGTGCATTAGACTGCATCACTTTGCATTTTGCAGAGTATAGAGAGTACGATTACTATAGTATATGTTAGGCTAAATAATAAAAAAGACTGAATATGAAAAGATTGCCGAAATTGCTTTTGCGCGAGTGAGTAAGGTTACCAAGAGACTTATTCTAGAAGAAGTGGGAGAATTCGAAAGGAGGCAACGCATGTGTCTCTTCGGTTGTAGGTGTACATGAGCGACGAAGTCACATACCAATCAGTTGACCCGTCCTTTGCCCCCTTTTTTTTTTTTTTTTTTTTTTCCCGTGCGGAAATCCCCTCGGATACCACCTGTCGGTGGCGGGTGTCGGTGCATGGTACTAATAGCCGGGGAACCAGGTATACCCTAGAAAGGAAGTCCCTGGTGCCCCGACATACCTCGGGTCATCTACAGACGAGTAGACGACCCCCCCCCCCGTGTGGGAACCCCATGTTCCCTGTGCTCCCTGGAAGCGAGCGCGCTTCGCAACGCGCTCGCCGCCACCCCGGCCTGCTTCTGCTAGGGTGACAGATGGCCTCACCTGTCACCCCCAGGCCTGCGCTTATGGAGGAAGGAGGTCGTTCTGCGACCTCCGGCGCCTGAGTCGCCTGCGCTGCCTGGCCCGTGCCCGGGCCTGGCGGGCCGGGAGAGTTCTAAACCTCTCCCGGTCCCGCTCCGCCGTCTCCTTCGCGAGCATAACTTGCTCGCAGAAGGAGACGGCAGAGTTCCACGCACTCTCGCTCCGCACGATAGCCGCAATCAGGCTATCGAGCGAGAGAACTCCCACTCCGATGGCCGCCACGAGGTCTCGCCTCTGCTCAACCCACGCCGGGCACTCTGCCAGCGTGTGGAGAGCCGTGTCCACGGTCTGGCCATCGCAGTGGTGGCACTCAGGCGTTGGCTCCTTGCGGATCAGACACAGGTGATCTCCGAAACATCCCTTCCCAGTGATCACCTGCGTCAATCGGTATGAGAGGGTTCCGTGACGCCTCTCGAGCCAATCCTCCATAACGGGTCTTACCGCCGCAATGACGGCGTGTCCACCGTCCTTTGCCCCTAAAAAGCAGTTGACTATTAACCAAAACTGAAACTTTGGTCTATTACTGCCTAATTAAAATTTAATCAATCTCATAATTTAAGGTCGGCATCTTATCGAATCGGACTTGATCTTAATTTGAAACTGTTACCCAAATAGCCAGACACTTTCAATTGCTTTAACATCCTGCCCGACATATTTGAAGGTCAGCGATAACTACTGGTTTTTAGGCAATAAAACAAACAAGTACTAATGACACAGTTATTCGGACTTTTTATGATGATACATAGTAAAGACGGATAATTAATACATATATTTTTATTATTTAAGAGTCTCTTTAAGAGACTATTAAATATATGTCCTTTATAATACATAGAAGTGTATACATAAATGGATAGAACGTGTCGATATTTTATTGTGATTGGTAGTTAAACACAGCCACATTTAATTTCCAAAAAAAAGATTACTCATTAGAATCTTTCGTCTTAAACTTTGTTTGCATTTACGGTAATTTTAAAGAGCTGCCTACAGAGTTCTTCGAAATTAATTGCAGTTGAGTTTACTAACATATGAATTTGCAAATCTATGTAATTGCTATAGAAATTTAGTAGACGTGACCATTCGAGGCAAGACGAAAGAATACCTCGCTACGTATTTTGAGAACGACAATAAGTCTGGAAATGTTTTTATTTTCATTCATTACCATTACTCATTCACTCCAATTATCACACACAGTCATGTGGTAATAAAATGCAAATATCACATTAACCAATGCAGTGATTGAGTTTCCCCCTAAAACTTAATATCACAACCCCTATAACATCGTATGTAGATAATAATGAAATAAAAAGCCATGTGACTTTGTATTTCATTATTACTTACTATAACTTAGGTTCCATTTCTCAATGATCTCTCATCTTACTTTTCATCATTTTCACATACATACGTAATTTTGGCCGGGCACACAAACCGGGCACTTTAGGTATTAAATGGAAACCTGTAATTCGAATTGGCCATTGCCGAAAAGTACGAGCTCTCTAACCACAGCACTCTAATCTTAGACACACATTATCACTTTAACTTTTTATTTTAACCCAAATCGTAACTATTTAAAACTAAATCATCAAATTGTATGAATGCCTTCTATCACGGTCACGGGACAATTTCGTCATCTGAAAAAATATGGCATACACTTATTATAGCATTCAATCCTTACGACAACGAATTTTTTAAAGTTAATTAAGAGATTTGTCTTGGGTTATTAATGTTTAGTGTTTTACAATAGTAAATATTGTAATATCAGTTGAAAACTTCTGTATGATATCCCTTATCTGATATGCGCGTGTCATATCTAAATACTTTGATTAGTAAGATGAGAAACATTGCTGTGGCATTACATCTGAAGTACCACCCATGTTGCGGTTGTTTAACGTTTATCTGCGCTAACCACTAACCACGTGCCGTATGTTTGTTTATTAAAAAAAAAGACTGTCCAATGAAGTCATGGCAGTCTGAAAGAAATAGTTTTAAATGTCATAGATGTCTTAAAATCTAGTTCATACTCGATTTAATAAATCAATAATGTAAGACGTGTGCCTGGGTGATATATAGTTGTCTGGTGTCTGACTTTTCAGCAATAGTGTTTGCAAAAATTCAACATCCACGACCTACGTACAAACTCTGCTATGGAATTGAGACCGAAGTTACACTTCTAATCCCACCTACCCAGCCTCATCTAAGCTGTTTGCCTTTAAAGTAGGGGTTTCAGAGATAAATATCTAATATTCCAAGAACAAGCGCTGCTACTAAAGCTGATAGCAAGCCGTGAATATGTAATGCGGTTTATTTTTCAAGAAAGCGAAGCAAGGATATTCGCAGAATTTTTTACTTATTACTTTAATGATTTGAAGATGTTCAAACGTAGCAATCTTGAGCCTGTAAAGTTTTTAGTCCCTTTTAAAGTGTTAACGTCGATTTTTGCATCCAAGTACTTATACAACTAACAAAGTATGATAATGTAGTTAAGAGGCCGGGAAGGTGTGTAAAGGTCTTTTGATTTCTGAATATTTATAAGCATATTGATTAGAAATACAATCCTCAATAGCCGTATCTATCGTATATGTACACATAAACTCGTATATTTATAATTTTTAAAGAATTTTCTGGCAAACAAGTTTTTGTTCTTAATCCACAGTTTCAGTTTCAGTTACTTAAAATACATCCTGTATTAAAATAAATTTGTCCCGTTGTCTAAAACAAACGTATGTATGAGGCGAAACGGTAGTACTTTTTATTTGACCAGGATCGACTGAAGGTAGTTCAGATAATGGCCTTTATAGTATGAACATATCATAATTTGGAAATGCTGTTTTGCAAGTGAGACGGCGATATCCATGATTCAAAACGCATCACTTCGTCACGCGTGCTTCAACATGTGACCCGTAGTTCTCACGATCAGAGAAATAAAATTGTGTGCGTAATAGTTAACTAAATTCTAATGTAACAAAGGTAATGTGTTTTGATTTGTTCTATAAAAATTCCCTGCGACTTAATACACATACCTACGAGTATACCCATATACTCGTAGGTATGTGTATTTAGCCGCAGGGAATTTTTAGGGAGTAAAGTTAAAAACGTTTTCTAGAGGCAGGGACTAGCAAATCTTTAGTGAAATTTACAGGAAAATTCATGACTCACTCGAAAGATTGAGTGCGCTTTCCTAGCTACGATTAATGGAGTATATTTTACAAACTTCTGCTCATTACTTCTGTAATAAATAGATAGATAGATATAACATGTAGATAGATTAGTTCTTGTAGCAACTACTGCATGGAAAAATATATTTGTTGGTATTAAACTTCACTACACACATACAGCTACAATTGTCTACAAACACAGGTATCAGTTTAATTCATTAGGAAATGAATGTGCCATTGAAAGCTCACGGCTCAATTTTATTTTATTTACTTCCTTTATTAACTGCTGTAACACGTGTGATTACAAAATGTATCAAACAGAAGGTTCTGCAACCAGTACACTCAATTACAGCACTTTACTTTTGTTACGTATAACAACGATGCCAAAAAAGATGAGCTTCTAGTTTTTATAGCCAGTTTCATCTTTTACAAGGTGTATCTATTGGGTAGCAAAACCATAAGTAGATGTAAAAGTAAAGTTTACAGAGTGCCTGCCTCATTTAACAAAATAATACTGATTTCATAATCATCATCATCATCAGGCCTCACCCATTGCACCCCTCTTAGATCGATTTTTGGCTTCTCGCATCCAGTTCCTGCCAGATTGATTGACTTCTTTGCAACAAAATTATTTTAATTGTTGTTAGTTTTTTTTTGACTAGAAAATTGTCATCCCCCTTAATGTATTCACGAAAAATTTCCCGATCTAGCCCATACTGGTGCAGATCCGGAGCGTTTTCCTTGCTTTTTAGGTAACACAAATCGTGATAATGATAGTCTTTGAATAAATCCTGTATGGTAACAGGTAAATTGAAAAAACACCTATTGAAAATTCGAATAGTTCAAAATTACTACTCTATTCCTGTAAATTGTATCTCTAAGAAAAATAATTTTGGGTGCCCAGAAAAAAAAAAGACCAAAAGTACTTACAATTATATTGGTCAGTAATTTCAGTGCTACAAATAACCCAAACAGTATGCAATTACTAAATAATGGCGGCCGTACATAATGCTTGTATTATGTTAAATTAAAAATAATAATCCTAGGTAGTACACACTACAGTAACCGAACCGTCAGAATGTCCAATTCTTTAATACTCACACGTACATAATCACGTAGTACGGCCATTGATATCTATGTACACAATACCGATTTCATTATTTACAGGGTGAAAAGCGAATGCGAGGCCATCGTGACCAATGACACTTCGTTGTACAACACTACGGTAGTCACCAAGCGAGAACTCCGACAGGTAATTATTTAGCAATATTTTAACTTTATCGTAAACTTCTTAGGAATATTTATTTGCGGTCGAACTAAAGAAATAATAAGTTAGTATCATAAATATGATTTACACCTGTGATAAACACCTTCAGTTGAGATTACAACACACTGGATTTGAGGTGTTAACGTCTATATGTCTGCAATAAGCACTTGTTAAATATTGTAAACTATATCTTGTCAGCTGCATTTGACAACAGTTCAGAAACGAATTTTCTGTTAATTTTTAAGGTTACTTTTCGTCTTCCATAGGTATTATGAAATTTTGTTGACTTTAATTGTACTTAGAGTTAAGAATAGGATTCCAGTTTCCAAACAAACATAACACCATAGTAGCAATTAAAGCAAACTTTAACTCTTTATGAAAACGGCGGCTTTAATAAGTAAAATTGCTTTTTAAATTATGTTTATGAAATGGGTAGAATACTATTAAATTAAAAGTTTATTGAGATATTAGGATTATCACATAAAAATGTTTAAAATAATAATATTTGTTATAATTATTTAAATTTTTGTATAGGTTTTTTATTGCCGAAATAGAAGTGTTTATCTGGGTTATAAATAATAACAGCTGCTCTGTGACAATAAGAATTCTCTACACGTAACCCAACGATGACGTTTTTTTATTCAAAACTGCTATCACGAAACGTTAAAATAAATGTCAATATTTTAGGTACTAAATCTAATAATTAATAAAAAGTGATTATAACACCTTAATAAATTAACGTTAATAATCACCCGTCAAGATTTATTTGCATTCACTGATATAATTTTAACGTGACTGATTTTATATTAGGGTCCATACTTATAAAGATCACTTATTCGTCGGTCGTTAAATATTTTTAATTGCTAATTTACTTTTTAAAAAGTACTACACTTGTATATGGGATTTAAATCATCTATGTATAGTATGGGCTGTGGTTTCTAATAAAGCGGTGGATTACCTAATAATAAGAACAATACACGTGTCACTTTATCAATTAATTATAATTACCACTCCACTTATGGAAGTTGTTATTACAAAAATAATATCTTATTTTTAGTTGCTTGTTGGTAGTTGGTGGCTGGATTAACTGGAATTATTAGGGCTAAGAATGGATGGCAGATAAAAAAAATGGTTCAGAATTTAATGTATCTTGATTAAGTCAGTTACGTATTAAGGCATAAGAATGTTCCTTTTTTTTATGTGATATACTTAATTAGTTATGTATATATAATGTATGTAAATTGTATATATGTATACAATGCATATTGTATAATTGTTGGTATGTATAAATATGTTTTGTGTGTAAATATTTATTTTATTTTACCTCTTTTTTTTATTCATTGGTTCTTAATCTGACAAAACTCATTGTATCTTTAACTGCTACTGTCTCTCCAAACCATTTCAATCCATCCTAAGGTTGCCTGGAAAGGATTGCTCTTAGCAATAACGCCACCCTTTGTACCTGACATTTTTATGTATCATATTACTTGTAAAACGGTGTACATATAAAGAGTTTTCTATCTATCTATCTATCTATCTATAAAAACTATGTCTCGGCTTGCATATTTACACTAGTTTAGAAAGTAAGTCAGATCATTAAAGAAAAAATTGTATTGAATTTTTACATTAACATTTTGTGTAACCGCTATGTGTAATCTCTTAGTAACGGCATCCTATTGCACGGACTAAATTCAAACAAAACTAATGTATTTCTTTATGAATAATGAAGATGTTTTAACCGTTCATTGGTACTTACTTAGGTAATCAATGGACTAGTTGTATTCTTTGTTTCAGTGTGCTTCTATATCTATTAGATAGAACTGTAAACGAAACGGTTGTGTAAAAATAAGAAATGCGTCGTCATGTTCTTTATTCAGCTGTTTTATATATACTTTTATTGAAAACAGTGACGTCGTACAAGTTAACTAGTTACTTTAAAACATTGTTTGTGACACATATGTACGTACAGTCACTTAGAAGTTCGTTTAATGAATGAGTAATTTTCTTGATCAGTACTAGGTACTCCTTGGTACTATTGGTATTTCAAGTTACCACTACGAATTACTACAGAGATGAATTAAGCTCTAAAACAAACATTTCAAGTGTTTCATTTTTATGAATGGTAAACAAAATAAAACATAAAAATGAATAACACATTTTAGTAATATGTAGTTAGTCTCGCCATTGAAATAACATTGCCTTGTCCATTTAATGGCAGGTACGTCGTAGATTTTGACTGTCTTAATAACGAAATATGTCCTTAAGAAGCCAGTTCGTGATGTTCCCATATTTGAATTGTTATTATTATTTCAAAACTGTTTTTAATATCAGAATGCTATCAAAAATATTATTATTACACGTGTACAATAATGTTATATTAATATACTGCCTCGGTGGTGCAGTTGGTAGCGTGTGCGACTGTTGTGCTGCGGTCGATTCCCGGGTCGGACCAAATGCTTGTATGATCTGCACATATTTGTTTTGGAGTTTAGGTGTTTTCTATGTATACGAGGCATGCCTTTTAAGTTATGTCGTTTGAAGAAAAAAACACAACTAGAACCTTATAATACTTTTTATTGTTTTTCAAAGTATTCATCACGTAGCTTAATAAACTTTTCCATTCGCTCAAACCAGTTATTATAATATTTATGCCACTCTAAAGTGGGGGTGTTCAAAATGGCTGACTTGAAAGCGTCGACTGCTTCTTCACAGGACTGGAACCTTTGACCACGAAGACTTTTCTTAATTTCAGGAAATGTAAAGAAATCGTTAGGGCTAAGGTCAGGACTGTATGGAGGATGGTCAAGAATTTCTACTCTTTCCTGCTTCAAATACTCTATCGTTTGACGAGCGCTGTGTGAGTGAGATGAGTTAGATTTTCGAAGTTCGGCGATGACTTGTGGTAAACCAACTGTGGTATACCACTCTGCGAAAACCGTTCTACGATCTTCAAGTGCAATAGTCGCAACATGGCCGGTTTTTCCAACGAACGTGGCCGCCATTTTCTTTGAAGTGCTTCGAGAACGAACAACTTTCCTCGGCTTTGGCTCGTCTTGTAAGACCCAGATTGTAGATTGTCGTTTGGAATCAGGATCGTAGACATACATCCAAGATTCGTCACCACTGAAGATTGTTGTAGACGTGATTTGACTCTCCTAGGTTGAACCTTTGCAGAGTTTTCTTACACCATTTGACGCGGTCCGCCTTGTGATCGTCGGAAAGCAGATGCAGTATCTAACGGCAAACTAGCTTTCTCACACCAAGCGCTTCATGCAAGATCTTCTGAATAGTTGTCCCTGAGATGCCTAATAAGATATAATAATAATAAAAGTTGTAGAAAATTATTGCATTGCACACATGCAACATTTTCCTTAGAAAGATTCATTTCGTACGTAACCTGACAGATTCCAATCGACGCTGTGACTAAACAATAGCATTAATCCTAATATTTTCAACTGTTTTGAGATTCAAAGTTTAAACACATTCGAATATAGAATAGTTCCAAATTCCAAATTGCCGGTAAATATGGAAACGACAGAACTTAAAAGGCATGCCTAGTAATATGTATGTACCTATATACAAAAAAGTATATACGAGTAAGTATTCTATCAGTCAAGCAGTCAGTCTCGTAGCAACGAACATTCATTCATGTCTATCCACTATATAAACTATATATTATATACTACTACTATATATTACTATATTAAAAGGAAGATATGCTTAAAGTACAGGGCTGAACCGTGTTGTGTTGTTGAAATGAAATTAAACTAATGATCTTGTACAATGACTTACTTTTTTTGGACGCGTATACAAAATGTGTGAGCGTATTGTAAATATTTTTTTGGTTCAGTGAATATTTCAATACTTCCATTTTTTTATACCTCCGCATCATCACTTACTGAAAGTGTCCCCAGAAAGCTGACAGCATTGCCAAGTTTAATAAATTGTAGTTAGGTTTAGAATTCTGTTCACCAAAACTGACGATCAGTCGCTTTTGTTTATTTTCGGTTATTTTGATCATTATCAAAAAAAAAATTGTATTACCATTTATTTAACACATTACCTAAATTTTTTGTTATGTTAATTATTTTTATAGTCAGCAATATGTTGAACCCATCAGTTCTATTGTGGTTCTTTTCTGTTAATTTATTTTACGTCAATAGTTACTTTAATCATCTGTTTTTCTATTTACGCAGCCAGAGGGTGTGGTTACCTTCGAATGGACAACCCAGCAACAGGCGTACGTTCTTTCCGGCTACTTTTGGGGTTATGCGATTACTTGCTTGGTTGGTGGTACGGTAGCAGAGTTCTGGGGTGCAAGGAAATTGGTGTTCATCACGATGTTGCTGAGCGGTATTCTTACAATCCTAAGTCCTCAGGCAGCTAAACTCCACTACTTGGCTCTGGTGGCATTAAGATTTGTCAGCGGACTCCTAGCGGTAAGACTAATGTTTTTTTCTATATTTTATGCATTTACTAGCAGGGTAGAGTAAGTAGAAAAAATAAAGAAGGGTTTACAACACTTTTTCTTTTTTGCTGATTGATTCGAGACAATTGTTATTTTAAAGAAGCCTTAAGCACAGCTTACAGAACAGCTTGCAGTTGTTAATTTAATAGATCTTACTTATTGTGTGTGTACTATATTTATTAACACGTAGGGATGTGTATAATCAATTATTTTTATGAAACATCTTCCTCCAAGATATATTTGAATTTCTAAATTGATGTAATGCAAGTTACCCCAACTGTGTTAAAAGCATAATTATTAAGTTTCAAATAAACAAGGTTCTAAAGAATACCTTACATTCAAATCTTGCGATCCATTTTAGGCTCTTCTTGTTTTTTAAACCCGCTCAAGTACAACAAAAATATTATGTTACAAGAGTTATTCTAGGCTTTGCGTCATCTTTCTACTTGTGACAGTATTTCTTTTATATGTTTATACTATACTATATAAATACCTTAAAACACGATGACTTTATTACTACCTGAATATACCTACTTTATAAATTATAAAAAATATATGTCTGTAATAGAAATACCTTATAAAATCGTCAGAAATGTAAACTCTTAGTACGGCTTATACAAAATGGACAGAAAAACACAATTTTCGGATACGACTATAATTTTGATGTTAAACTGTATAAACTGTATAATTACATATTCAAACATGAATAAAAATTTGCATACGTGTTGGTTTTGGTGGTAACTAATATTTAGTTTCATTATATAATATGTATTTTCATAATAAAATCCTATGTAAACGGTTGTGTAAAGCGTAGTAAACAAGGGAATGTCCTTCATACAAAATATTCAGAAAATATACGCATTTTAATAAGTAGCGATTAATTGTTTAATGTCGTGTAGGAAGTTTTCCTGTCTCACGATAAGTACATATGTTTACTTAAATACCAGATACCAAACCTGTTCTGAGAATATTTAGATTGGTTTGAAACCTCTCTTTTGGCATAAACAAGGTCTGGACGTTTCAAGTCTAGGCCACGATCGGCGTATTCTCAGAGATCAATTAAAAATGGACTTCTTAACAGATACTATAACGACCTACCTCATTCTTAACAAAATATTCTACTAGAACTGGTTTTGTATGACATCATAAGCATCTTAATGCAAAAGGCTTTATCAACGCAACTATCTTGATATTTCATATATTGATTACTAGCTTTGTTCGCGGCTCCGCCCGCGTGTATATCGGTTATCGCGGTAGAAAGTAGCATATGTTACTAGCTGATAATGTGACCTTTCATTAATGAAAGAATTTTTATAATTCGATTAGTGGTTTAGGCGTGAATGCGTTACAAAGAAACATACAAATAAACAAACAAACTCACTTTCACATTTATAATATAACTATGGGTGAATACAATATTTTACACAAACAAAATGAATTTTTTACATAATAATCAGATGATAAATAACAAAATCTAGTAAAATATTGGATATTGAAACCCATTCCCTTTTTGTAGTCACGAAATAACTTTCAATTATTATTCTCATAAAACAATATTTTACTACCGCAGTCCGTTATTGATAGAATTAATATTAATAATTCTATGAGTAATAGACTATGGTAATAAAATAAATACTTAAAAAATCTTATATGTTATTGATCGAAGCGAATCGAAATCGAAATTATTATATAATTACTTCAGTAAAAATTTACGTTGCTATCATTATCCTGGCAACGGGATGTACCCATGTCCGTTTGTAATTTAAAAATAATAGGCTTTTTCATGCTCAGCATGCTCACACGGTTATTTGCACGACCCCTTTGCCTAAAAACCAATTTAAGTATTTGTTGTCTGTCTGTTTGTGCCGGGTAATCTTCAAAACGACTGGACACTGGTCCAGTCGTTTTGAAGATGAATACAATATTTTGGGAGTACAATATTTTGAACACTGGTTCAAAATATTGTACTACCAGGTAGCTGTGTATATAAGGAGTAACTGAGGCAATTTTTCGTGTCAGAAAAACTCTATAAAGTTTTGCCCGGTTCGGGTATCGAAACCACTAAGGCAGTGCTTTTCAAATTACATGCGAACAAAGTCGTGAGCACCAGCTAGTAGAAAATATAAATGTACGACCACGCAAGGAAGAAGATTTAAAATAAATTCGCTTTTTATTTCCTAAAACCTATTTAAGTACCCATTGGTTTTTTATTGCGACAGTCAATTTTTAATTGTATTACGTAGGTTTAGTACAATATCCGTTCCGTACTATTCATGATTAGTTATAGTTGGCGATTCGTCATAGATATTGTAAAACTATAAACAAACCATAGAAATATCACATTTGTGTACTTTTTTGTTCTTCAGCTACAGACTGATTCAGTGTGTTTACTATTATGTCGAGGTATAGATAAAACACATTTTGTATTTGTAGATTTATTTAGGAATTGGTCATGCTCTGGACCAATGTACGTGGGTTTGTATAAAGATATTTTTTATGGTATAAGGGGGCACAAGAGTAGACGGGTCACCTGATGGTAAGTCACTACCGCCGACAACTGCTGGACATAGGAATCTCCAGAGAATGGAAGTTTTGGCCTAATATACCACACGGTTTTCGAAGGTTTACCAAGTTTTCCTTCTCTTTGCAGTACTGTTGCCTTGCGTATTTTGTTCCCTTTGTCGGCTCTTACGACACCCAAGGGATGAGTAGGGGTGGTGACACTCTGTACTTTTAATCCATCACCACGCGGACGTAGACAACTCAAGAGTTACAAATGCTTTGCCGCCTTTTGAGTTCCCTAGGGAAAGGAGGTGGAGAGAGGGGGATTGGGCTCCGGTAACCTCTCTAACATGATGAAAAGCAATGAAAGAATATTTAAACTCCGGTTTTCCGTGAGGCCGTGGTATAACTCCAACCGCCACTCCCTTACGAATTCCATGATTAATAAGCGTGTACTCCATTCCATTCTTATCTAAAGTATGTGGCACAGGTAGGGGCCTCATGTCATAAAACACAGCATGAATGTTAAAATCTATAATGAAATAAATATAACTACAAATTAACTAATAATGAGTCATTTTAAACGGCTCCATGGATTTGTTTCTATTATTTTAATTACTTGAAAACAATAACAAGCAAATTTGGCGGCAGGCTTAAATGATTTCGTAAATTTACCACATGAAATCATACATTTTTTGTTCAAAACATAGTATTGTGTTGTGTAAATTAACAAAGTTCATTAAAAACATAACCATTAAAAAATAACAAGTCCTACAAGTCGCAACGTAGTTCTTCTACCGTAAAAAGATTAAGATTTGATTGTTACTGAATCTGTGAACTAACAACATTTTGTAGTGACCGTGACAGTATTAGATATTTATTACCTTGATAGAAGAATAAATTGGCCGTCGCACTGTAACATTATCATATGAGAATAATGCACTATTGTAACACATTTTTGTTAGCTTTGTATGTTTGTCTGTAACGGAATCTTCGAATGTGATTTTGACCCACTTCAAAAATTAATTAATTAAATTGAAACTTCGCATCCTTTCAAAGACCGAATAAAATACAATAATTTGATAAATTTGGCCGATTATCTTGCTCAGGATCTTCAGGGTTAACGGCTTTTTCCATACCTATAAATACGGTAGTGCCTTTTGCTACGTACTAATAGGCGTGTGCTGAAGCATATGTGACTTACTTACTTGTTACTATTTTAGTCCTATTGAGGAAATCATCATTATTATTGACTAAAAAGGCGAAAATAAATTATAGTTTAAACAACTAAAAACACGCTTTTGTAACTAGGCGAACTAAAAGTAGTTTTTAAGCTATTGCATAGCTTCTATCGCGGGCCTTGAGCGTGAAGACCGAATCCAGAAATTCCGTAACGAAAATAACCTAACACCTCCCACTCCGACCGGCACAGCAGTGGTACTTTTTAGTTTTGCCATCGATCGTTAAATAGCAGAACTTTTTTTAAGGTAGGGTGTTTATTTAAGGTAGGGTGGAACACAATTTGACATGACAAAGGGGGGAGACCGGTTTATTTTTATTAATGTAATTACATCCACATACAATACCCCCCCCCCCCATCAAAAAAATTATAATTGCATTGAGGTCCCTTCAAAATACCTCCCCTTCTTTCCCATCCACTTTTTTCATTTATCCCCCCTTTGATTTTCTCGGTACCTGGAGCACTTGGACTCCCATGTTTGGGTTTGTCTGAACCGGGAAAAGGAGACGAACAATCTGGCCCCTACAGATTTTTTAGCTGGTACCCACGACTTTGTTCGTGTGGAATCTGAAAGCACTGCCTTAGTGGATTCGATTCCGGAGCCGGGCAAAATTCTTTAGGGTTTGCCTAAGATAATTATTTAATACTAGCTGGTACCCGCGACTTCGTTCGTGCGTGCTTCCTCGACTTCACTTGATCTAAGCAGATTTAATTGAAAGGAGTGCGGTACTAGATGTCAGATGTTATAGATCATATACGACTACTGTAATTTTTTCTCGTTTATTTTCGTCGTGGACAGATAATGCGTCAAAGCGTTGATATGACAAGGTCTTAAATGAGCCGCAATGCAGTGATTAATTATCAGACAGGTTGAGTAGATGTTTCGTTAGCTGGTTTCAATTATAAAGTACCTATTCCAATTGTGTCTAATAATGGCATTTTAAAAGGAACATAGAGGGTCACCACTTTAGAGCTCATTCTAAAGGGATGCCCCTATATATATAATGCCCCTTTGGAAAAATGTAAATTTGATATGTTTCTGCTATGCCGCTAAATACCCATTAACTACTAGTAGTTCTAAGCCGCAATTCCTATCAACGGTGTTTAAAAAGTGCTACTTAACGTTTTTATGGATACAAATAAATGGTGTCCTACTAGTACCCAGTGATGATTTCTTCTTTTAAAAAAAATTACCAGTGCGGTCAAACAGCTTGGGCTAACTCTCTGACATAATAAATTGAACACAAACAGAAAGAGACCGGCGTGGTATGTAAATCTGATATGTTTCTGCTATGCCATTAAATACCCATTAACTACTAGTAGTTCTAAGCCGCAATTCCTATCAACGGTGTTTAAAAAGTGCTACTTAACGTTTTTATGGATACAAATAAATGGTGTCCTACTAGTACCCAGTGATGGTTTCTTCTTTAAAAAAAATTACCAGTGCGGTCAAACAGCTTGGGCTAACTCTCTGACATAATAAATTGAACACAAACAGAAAGAGACCGGCGTGGTATGACTCGGAATCACCACCTAAACCAGTAATGGGAATCCACTGCTCTTACTGCTCTAAAAAATAGCAAATTAAAATGTATTATTAGTTACTTTTTAGACCCTATCATTTAAGCTTTTACATGCATTTTATTTGCAAAAAAACTTATTTTATTATTATTTTATATTTCTCATGAGTCATAAGTACCTCAGTAAACGCATAAATTTGTATAATAATTTAGTAATTGTATAAATACATTTCATTGTGATTCCAATGTACTTCGTTCTATAATTGATCAAACTACGTAGACCCAAGATCCTCTAACAGTTCCCACGGTTATTATATTTTTATGGAAGTGCCAATTATATTTCCATTCATTATAATGATGTACTTCAGCGAATCATCGTTCCAGGATATTCTAGATGTAATTGAACATTCTGGAAATAATTTTATCAGAGTTATTAAAACCCGCGGCGGGGTAGGTTATTCAAATATGTTTTATTTTTAACAATTAACACTTTATCGTTAATTATAAAATCGCAATCGGTGACGGATTAAGAATACGGAATGTCACCACCCCTTTTCATCCCGTGGGTGTCGTAAGAGACGACTAAGGGAGCAAACTACGCACGACTACAGCACTGCAAAAAGAAGGAAAACCTGAACCAAACCCTATACCAACCAGTCTGGCCAGTGAGGTATAGTACGCCAAAATCTCCTTTCTAAGGAGAGGCCTATGTCCAGTAGTGGGCTATTATAGGCTGTTGATGTTGATATGATGATGTGAATCATTATGATATATATATCCTGGTAGTGTATGTTTAATGCACAAGTCATCATGTGTTTGTTAATATGTTTTATAGACAAACAATAAATAATTAATTATTATTCTAAAAAGTACATTATCATTACACAGCGCCACGCCAAACACTAACTATTCACAATAAAATATGACTAGCTCCACGCAATTTCATCAGCGTCTCTCAAAAGGTAGAAATTTAAATCGATGCTCGGCTCCGATTGGCGGTAGCGTGGTGTTCTATAGCCTTAAGCCTTTCTCAATACATGGGCTATCTAATATATAAAATTTTCATGTCACGGTGTGCGTGGTTGAACTCCTCCGAAACGGCTCGACCTATTTTCGTGAAATTTTGTGTGCATATCGGGTAGGTCTGAGAATCGGCAACCTATATTTTTTATACACCTATTTTTTTTGACGAAAAAATTGAAATAATGTATTTGGCAAAACAACGTTTGCCGGGTCAGCTAGTCTATATATAATATATATAGTAGTTTCTGAGATATTGTTCATTTCTTTATTTTTCTTTTTTTTTAATTTATGTAAATTTTATGTAATGTGAGTTATATAGGTAATTAGGTACATTTCAAACAAAATGAGGTAAAACTGGTTAATGTACGAGTCGTAGTTAAACTTATATTTATTTCCACTTACTATATACTCGCTTATTTTGAGAAACCTGTTAAGTTTTTACGCCATTGCAATTATGTAGAGCCTAACACATTTTTTGGTATATTAGTTAATTACTAAAAAAAACAATTGACTTTTTTTAGGGCCGGCGCAGACTAACGTCGTGGCACGGCACAGACCGGTAAAGGATTTTATTTCTGATTAAGTTCTTTTTATTAATATTTTAATGAGTTTAGAATTCATCTAGAACTCATATTACTCTATTTCAATACAATAATATAGCTGCGCATCGTGGCATGCCGAAGGATGTCATGGCATGTCGTGTCATGCCGTTTTATTCCATGGATTGCCTTCGCGTGGCACCACATCGCACCAAACACATAAATCAATAGATTATGACAGCTGAAGTAACTGAAATAAGGTTTAAAATGCATTCGGTGGCTAAGTTCAGTTTCAGTGGGATGCCATGGCATGATGCGGCATGCTTCAGCATGCCAAGTCATACCAAAGCTCCTTCGAGCTACCAAAGCACGCCCTGATGCCATGCCACAACGTCAGTAGTGCCGCCTCTTAACTAACTCGTGGAATCCGGTACAAGAAACTTATTAATTGCGTTATTATGAATGAGAAGTTACTAAAACGGCAGTGGCTCGTTTTAACGCTAAATTTTTGTTAATAAATCTTTGGCCATGTGTTTTAGTAAAAATAATTAATGTGAATAATAAATCGTCTTTCGAATTTAGATATATGTATTATAATATTGAGCAATTCATTTATAAGCATAATAATGTTTACTTCCTTATAAAACTCACCGCACTAATGTAATTAGTAGTTCCTCGCAAGTTCTACTAAAAATAAATATTAAATAAAAATAAGTTTTTTGCTTGATATTTTTTTATTTGATTGATTGATGATATAGTTTGACAGAGTAGCAAAACTATTACAATTCCTTGCTCATCCCACGGAAACACTACATTTTTTCTGATAGCCTTTGTGTTAATCCATGGTGTCAGCTACAGCCATACAAATTTTTATCAAAATTGATCCAGCCGTTTGAGCGGGTAAGAAGTAACAAACATACAAACACACACTCATAAACTTTTGCCTTTATTATAATAGTATAATTTTTGACAAAAAATCTAACTGTTCGAGAATCTTTGTCTTTTCAAAAAAATGTTGATAAATAAATAAAGATAAGTTGTAAAATCTGTTCTGGCCGCCTAATAAAATATTTAATTGAAGGGAATAAAATCCGAAGCTTCTAAATTTGTTTAGTTCTTTTTAATTATTATTTTTCAGTTAAATTGGATGTAGACTCTGTTGAGCTTTAGTTCTAAACCTTTAGAGTGTACCGCTGCTACCGGAATTAAAATACTAATAGTAATAAAATATTTCTAGTCTACACTTAAGTTCAGCTTTTCCGACGAGTTCTAAAATGTTATACAATATCCTAACAACTTATTAGGCGTGCTCAGTCTACACAAATGTTCCTTCAAGAATTTTAAAACAATCCTATTTCTTACAGGGTGTCTTGTTTCCTTCATTGCACGCTTTGGTGGCACGCTGGGCTCCACCGGCAGAAAAGGGGAAATTTGTGAGCTCGCTCCTAGGCGGTGCAATAGGAACAGTCGTTACATGGTCGTTAACAGGACCTTTAATTGAAAACTTTGGATGGGATTACGCTTTTTATGTCCCCGGTAAGTACTCACCTTTACTATCTAATCTTAGTTACTCGTATCGTGTTGTTATTAAGTTAGTTAACTATCTGTTAACCAATTTGATGTGCGCACTTCCTTTTAGTTTTTTTTTTTAATAGTTGGAGTTTTGATTATCTGTACGTCTGTATTCTTAATCCGGTATCTCAAAGTAGTAGGTACTGTTTTGTAGGCATACATGTGTGTACCGACGTATGGAAGCCGACTTCAACATTAAAGACTATTAATAGTTACTTCAGGTTCTAATTTCTTACCTCAAAATAATATATTTATAACATAAAGAAAGCCTCTAGCAGTGAAGGTTTTAGCACAAGTTTAATAAGTAATTATACAATGTATTATATGATTAAAAAATGTTTAGCTCATACAACTTGTGTTTAGTCTCTACTGGAAAAATACCTTTGTCGTTCAAAAATACTTATCCAAATAAAAAATGTCACATGATTTCGGCACAGTATTGACTATTTGGATAAGCACACAGGGCTTAAGTTAGGTGTTGTTTTGAGGGAATGGTAACTCCAATGTAAGGGGTACATAATTGAAAATAAGCTAATGCATATGTAATACATTAAAGCCTAATATTTGCTAAGGATTAAAAAAATATTTTATAAAGTTTAAATTTTTCATCTTTTTATCTGTCTTTCTCTCATAATATACGAACAAAAAAAAAACTATCTTTGTAAATGAAAAAGCGAAAGAATGCTTACTCGTCTAATGACTTGTCACGAAATAGATAAAATTTGCCTTAAGTTAGAGTATATAAAGTGCAAAATTCAATTGTTTTTACAAACATGTTCCAAAATAAAGTATTTTATGTTAGTAAGTTTTTTAGCGTACGTATACCTAGTTTTTACATAAGACTAACGGTTGAATTCACACGTGTGCTTCCCCGAAACACATACATGAATAGTATAAATGATAAAATTACGGAAGTTATTAGCATATATTCTAAGCTTTGACGTTTTCACCTTTTAACGTTGGTATGTATTATTTTTTATTGACAGACCGATTGTCTTTTTAAATATATTTTTTTGGCATTTCGAATTTAAAACCGCTATTTGCATGTAGTAGTGAAAGCTCCCATATTTAAATATTTAAATAATGCCTAACCGAAATAACGTGTCATTTTTCTCATTACACTTCACTGTACCTATAGCGATTTTTTTCTATAAAATAATATGTATGGATAAATACAGCAATATAATTAAATCATAATTAAATTTACTTTTTCATAGTAAATAAATTTCAACACACAGTCACTTTCATTCTAATATGTCAATAAGGTTTTTCCAGTACCTGTAAATGATTTCATTAGTTAGGAGTTATTGGCACTTTGCCATCAAAATGTACTGTCTAATCTCAATATTTTGGGAGATTCAAGTTATGAATTGATGATTACTTTTTGTTCCATGAAGATTAGATGTCCAGTAACCGATACTTCTTTAAAAAATGTCTCTGTGGGTCGGTCGAGAATGGGCGCTTCTTTTACTAACTGGTTTGACCTGACATGGTTTAGCTCTTGTCGACATTCGTGGGAGAGTCATGTTTCCGCACAAATTGGCGGGCTTAACCGTATTGCTGCCATGGCCTCACAAAAAACCGAGTGAGAAAAAACGAGTAAGCGAGTGAGGTTACCGGAGACCCAGAGCTGACACAAAGGGCAACAATTTTAGGGATTAATCACTCACCATCCGGGACCTGTTTGCTCGTAACGCTCTCTAAACCTACCATAAAAAGCTTAGTTGTTATTATCGCAAGTACCGAACACTACCTGAGATAGTAATACAACCTTCAACTGCTTACTATGCTTCTGTACTTATTTATCTTCTTCTGCTTCTCTTAACTCTTCGTTTATTGTCATTAAGTTGTTTATTATAAGAAAAGAAAAAAAAAACACATTTAAATACCTTGCATGACTTTTAAAGCAGTTAGGCCTCCATTGCACCGGCTCTCCGTCCAATTTGCGTAGTAAGTGATGTTTATAAGTAAATTTAAGATGCATTGCCTGTTTAAAAATGCACATATGTATGTTTCGTGAAGCTCTTCTGTACTAGGTCATTGAACTTAAGTTTTGAGTAGCAAGCAAATACGTACTTTAATTGTTGAGCCAAAATCCTGCACTTGAAATCACTGAATTTCAGTGGGACACCCGAGCACTTCGCTGTGGTACATTGTAGTTGAAATTATAAAAAACGAGGATCAAAACTGACGCAAAAAATAGATTAAAATAATAATTGAAGCAGGTTATCTCTAACTGTATATCTTGACAAAATTAGATCTTACGGTGCAGAACTTTTTGAGTTTTTGAAGCGTACACAAACCAACTCAACACTGTTATATATATATATATATATATAGATGATATTTAAATTAACCACGAAACCGTCTAGTGGAGCTTTTGCCGTATTTATTGTGAAGTTGCATCCCGTTTTGTCTTGATCCCAAACATCAAAATGGCAATTTTTTATGTTAAACATTACCTAATCAAAATCTATTTGTTCACGTTCATTATTACATTAATTAATAATATTTAATAAATTTATTACTTATTTTATTTTATATTAAAGTCGCTCAACGTGCTATGGAAAGGGCTGTGCTCGGCGTTTCTCTAAGGGATCGCATCGCAGGAATGAGGTGATCCGGCAGAGAACCTGAAGTGGCAGTGGGCTGGCCATATTAGACAACCGTTGGGGATAACGAGTGGAGTGCAGACCGCGTCTCGGCAAACGTAGTATAGGACGCCCACAGGCCAGGAGGAGTGACGATTTGCGCAAGATTTTTTAAATTTAAAATTTAAATGTTGCTATGAGAGAGGCTTATAACAGAGGACAACGATTGGCTGATAATGAAATAATATTTTAATTTATTTTTAATGATAAAATTTATACACGGCTTTTAGATCTCAAATTGGACAGGTCCTGTACTCTGGCAACCTGATTGCTGATAAACATACTTATATGTTTCTAAATACATATATACTTGTATTATGGATAAATTACAGACAAAGAACATATAGATCGTCCTCATCACGCAATATTTGTCCTGGGTGGAAATCAAATCTACGACTTCTGGGTTAGCAGTTGGAACAGCAAACCACTAACATTTGTATTGTTAAGTTTTTGCGACGGTCGTTACTCACTTACCTTACTTATTTGGCGCCATATGATTAGAAATATAAGGATAAAATATCTATATAATTACACCAGGTTGTCTCGCACGTTTGATAGTTATTATTGATTAACAAATTAGTTCATAAAGCTTGCGACATCTCTCAGAGGTACGAAAACAAAACTGTAGGCATGATAAATTACTCTCTTTCTATCATACCTACTAGTACTACGCATACTTAATTTTCCAGCTTGTCTTTACTCGTGTACCAAAATGTTTTCAATTACAAAAGTAGCCTAAAACATTTTCTATAAACTTCTGAATCACCGAACGTGAAGCAAACGCCACTTAAATAAACACAAAAAAAGATTAAGGCGTGTTTTACCAGTTAATGTTCACAATGTTTTTTTGTCCGTCAGTTGTAAATTTGTACATATGAAGTAGAGGTGCAAATGTGGAATATTTGCATTATTTCAGATATCTTCTTCCGCATTAAATTAATGCAGAGCTTTAATGAATGCGGATTCGTAACTGGGTCAAGTAATGAAATATAAAAAAGGGGGTACGTCGTTGATCCCAGAGTGCCTAAAGACGAAAGTCTTAAATGTGTGCGTCGTACCCATCGAGATCGACGCGCCCCTAAAAATGTTACGATTCTAAATGGTATGAAACCATATGACATGCCATGTGACTTAGACTAAAACAACTAATGTCTATTAAAATAACCGGCGTTTTATATCAAATGTCACAATTTTAGAAGTCAGAAAAAAAGACTAAGTATGAAATAACCCCATAGAGAAGTAAACTATATAATAGATTAGAATCCATACAAATTTTTATATTACTAGATTGCAATAATTTTTCTTCTTTGTGGTTAGGATACTCGACTATTTATTTTGCTAATAAAACTACGATAACGATAATACTAGTGTTACAAAATGGGATTTCTTATTACTCGTTTCTATTTAAATTCCTCGCAGTTCGTGCTGATTTCTACATAGTTAATTTAAGCGTGACGTGTTTGTAGATGGCTTTGAGATAGTTATTGCCTTATTCATTAAAAAACATTTTCTTAAAGGTATCGTAGCATGTTTGGAGATTCAATTTACATTTATAAGAACACAGATTGACAACATTTGCAAGCACTGATTACCTTTTTGTCATTCATTTTCATCGATTGTTATATTATTGTTTTTATGTTTAAAAAACAAAACACTTCGTTCCTAATTAAAATCTAGTTGTTGACAACTACATTTAAATTAGGAACGAAGTGTTTTCAAAGATCTTTACCGTACCTAAACTATCCGAGTCATCTCTTCTTTGACTGCAAACCGCAGATAAATAAACTAATTTGTCGAATAACACGACAAATTAGTTTATTTATCTGCGGTTTGCTGACCTTCGGATGTGGTTAAAATAGTATTTCAGCATTTTGCTCTCCATTTTGGGTAGTAACAATAAAACCTACATTTATAATCTCTTTCTTTTTCAGGAGCTATTACACTAGTGTGGTGTTTGTTTTGGTTGTACTTAGTACACGACTCGCCTGTGCAACATCCTCGTATTTCTGAAAGTGAGAAGAAATACATTCTTGAGGCGATTGGCGATAAAGTTCAACAGAGTAAGGATAACAAGGTAATATTCTTAATCTTATAAATCTTTTACTCCATCTCTAAGATACAACTCTAATAACCTGATGATGTAACTTATAGATGTTATCCAGCGCATTTGTTTATTCTTTTTGGGAAATATCTACTTCCACAGTAGATTTTTTCAGTATCTTTTAGTACATTGACCATTTTACGGTGCGTGAAAATCAACCTCTACCATATGTAAAGATGAGACATAAAGATTATTTTCCCTATTTTATTTGAGCTTAGACCGTATCATCATCATCCTCAACGGCCTATAACATTCCACTGCTGGACATAGGCCTCTCCTTAGAAAGGAGGTTTTGTCCTACTATACCACGCTGGCCAGACGGGTTGATAGACCGTATGATTGTACTTTTTTTTGTTAAGTACGGAATGCGTGAGAATATGTACAGTTCATAGAGAGTCATAGCCGACAAGTATGATATCAGTATGTGCCCATTTTATAATGTGTTTTAGGTGTTCTGATCATCACTATACTAACATATAATTGCCTATGTTTTAATAGGAGATATTTTATTTGTGTTGTTCTATCAACGCAATATTTTCATGGCCTATAATTGCTATATGGAGGTTGTATGATTGTTAAAGTTAATTAAGCATTGGGTTTGAAGTCTGACCTTGTTGTGATGACGTAGTCTCGTACGTATTGTAGAGAATCTTGCGTATCTTATTTTTATTTGTAAAAAATAATTTAAATCAATATATAATCAATATATAATATATATTATTATTGCCGGTGACAATGTTGTAAAATTAAATGTTTTCGAATCTTCATAGCTAACTCTATCTATTAGCCATACTTGTACATTTTTAAAGAAATTGGTATGAGATTATTCACAAAGTCTGGCCTGGTCAACGGTTCTAACGGTTATTTGATCCTTGCAAAAAATTGTATCAATATGGTGTTAAATTGACTCCAATCTGAAAACTTTTAGATAAAAACCACATCTTTTACACACATTTATATCGTTGGCAGGAGCAATGTGATGCTAAACTGTTTCAAAATCGAAGTAAAGCATTATATATAGTTATCGCCTAACACCAATTTCTTTATTAGCAAAGCAGACAGCTTAAAGCAGATTTCGGGCGCTATGCCTATTCTGATAATTTGAGCAGTCCGACCGGTCCAGGAACTTCTTTACATAGTACAAAATGAAGTAGTTTTTTTTTGTACGCTTTTTCCTTAGATTTTTTAATTAAGAATACGGAATGTCACCACTCTATTCATCCCGTGGGTGTTGTAAGAGCCGACTAAGGGAACAAACTGCACAGGACAACAGCACTGCAAAAAGAAGGAAAACTTGAAACAAACCCTATACCAACCCGTCTGGCCAGCGTGGTATAGTAGGCCAAAACCTCCTTTCTAAGGAGAGGCCTATGTCCAACAGTGGACTATTATAGGCTGTTGATGATGATTGATGAACGAATTTTAATGTGGATTTCACCAATAGAGAGAGTGATTCAAGAGGCGGGTTCATAGGTATAGTAAATGCATGTCATAGTCCTCTACTATTTCAAAGATATATACAGATATACAAATTGCCACTTTTATTGTGAGGGTTTAAAGACATTGGCAAGCGCTCGCCATCAGAACGGTTGTATGCGAGCTGGTGAAGTCAATTTTATAGAAACTAGCAAATAAACATGTTAATTAATTTAACGTTAGATTAACGTCAGATTAACGTTAATGTATTTTATTTATTTTATATTAAATTAAGTTATAGTAAAAACTTCAAGTTGAAATATATTTCTACCATATTGAAATAATTATACCTGCTATTAACTCAGGTAAGTTAAGTTTTTATTGAAATCGTGTAATTACAATAAAAATTAACGCCCGTGAGGTGTGTTATGGTACTTCAAAAGTTCGTATTAGTGTGTGTGTGTGTTTGTATTTGTGTGAGCAACGTCACTCCTCACTCAAAGTCTAATGATTCCTTAATCCTAACTCAGTTTGATTTTTGTTATACGTCTTGCCTGGTGGTAAGCGCTTACTTGTGCCTGTAATCACATTCAACGTAAGGTTTATAGCTCTAGTGTGTACCAACCCTATTCACATGTAGGTGAGTAGCGTCGGTCCGTCCGTTAACTATAGTGTTCTGTAGAATGAATGTACTTTGCCAGTTTGACGGTCCGTATTCGTAAAGAATTAGTGGAAAATACAATAAAGAGAACACTCCCTAACTGTTAAATCTCACAAATTATAAACAGGATAGTAACATCTTAATGCCAAAACGGTTAGACAAATTTAGATAAAGTAGGTTATCAAATATACATAAGTACAGGTTAGGATCTATTTAATGCAGTTTATAACTTGTGCCAAAAATTTGACCGTGTAAGTAAAACAACCTTACCCTACATCTGGTCTCAATGTGAGGTATCTACGTGATATATATATTTTTTTCAAGTCAATCAAATCGTGAGATGTTTTAGGTGGAAAGGTTACATATAAAATGTGAGGTTAAGTATAATTTTAAGACGTTTTCTGGTTGCGGTATATATCAAGGGCAACGGTTAAGGTCAACAATCGGTTTTAGCTATTGTTCTTGAAGATTGTCTCTTAAATGTTGATGTTGCCTCCTAATTGCTAGGCAGTGAAGCATTTGACTGCAATGTTAAGGTCAGATTTCTACCTCAGCACAAAATAATTATTTGTCTTTTAAAACCACTATGACAAAATATATATCTACTTAATTGGTTTCTAAAAATCAAAATCTACTGTTTTCTTTTGCCGAAATAGGACTTGCAGTAGGTTCTTACGACATTAGACGATTTATATGAAATTAAATTAAATTATAATATATATATTATTATAAATTATTATAAATAAATAAATAAAATAAATTTCATATAAGTCGTCTTTTCATAAACTTTGATCTGAAATATCTCCTCTTTGGTTAAGAATTCCAAATTCAAATTTAAAAATTCATTTAGCTGATACATTTGAGTTTTAAAAACAGTCATTCATTTGTTTTTTCCTCATTATTTTTTCTTTGGCATCGCTTATTACCGCACAATGGAAAACATGAAATATCGGTATATTTACGAGTACGAGTACTACCGTGGCACCAGTGCTGCAGAAACAGCTCGAAGGATTAATGATGTATACGGCGCTGGTGTCGCAAAATAAAGGACGGTACGTTTTTGGTTTCAACGTTTTCGTTTTGGAAATTTCGACCTTCAGAATCAACTCCGTGGACGGCCGGAGACCAAAGTGGAAAATGAAGAATTAAAGGCTATTGTGGAAGCGGATCCATCACAAAGCACTTCATAGATAGCTGCAGGCTTCAGGGTAAGTGATAAAACTGTATTAATCCACTTAAAGCAAATCGGGAAAGTAAAACAACTTAAACGATGGGTACCTCATGAATGGAGTGAATCGAACTTGCAAACACGCGTCTACTGCTGTGTTACTTTGCTCAACCGACACAATAATGACGGGATTTTAAATCAAATCATTACTTGTGATGAAAAGTGGATACTATACGATAATCGGAAGCGATCGTCGCTATCGCTGAACCCTGGAGATCCACCAATTCATGCCCTAAACGAAAATTGACTCAGAAAAAGTTACTTGTGAGTGTTTGGTGGACTAGCGCCGGTGTCGTTCGCAACAACTTTCTACAATCTGGCCAAACGATTACGGCAGATATATATTGTCAGCAACTGCAAACCATGAAGGAAGAACTAGCTGCTAAACAATCGAGATTGGTCAATCGCTCTAGGCCACTGCTGCTTCACGACAACGCAAGACCACACAATGTCTGCGACATCCACCTTACTCCCCGGACCTTGCTATGACAGATTACCATTTTTTCCGGAATTTGGACAACTTCTTATAAGGAAAAAAAATCAATTCCGATGCGGCAGTCCAAACCGCCTTCAAAGAGTTTATTGATTCTCGCCCCCATGGGTTTTTTGTAAAGGGATCAATGAACTACCTCTGAGATGGCAAAAGTGCATAGATAACAATGCATACTTTGATTAATTAAATATATTTTACAAAAAAAAAAAACCACCCGTACAAAACGCCAATTTCATCTGTTGGGACCTAATACTCGTATATTACAGTAATTGCATAATAAGTGTTGACGGTGTAAACGATAACAGAGGTGTAGGGCCCTTAATTACCGGTGATGTGTTTACTGTCTCCGCTAACCCAGTACGTCGTCCTATATGTAGCATGTGAAGAGGGAAGTCGCCTCGGCATGACGGGCTTAGTATTGAACACTTAAAGTTTGCTGGTGCTCATCTAGCACCAATGCTCGAAATGTTCTTCTCCCTGTGCCTGAATCATACATACCTGCAGTCAGAACTAATGTGAACGATTATTGCACCTATATTAAAGAACAAAACAGGTAATTTATCTCAAAAAAACAACTACAGGTCTATATCTCTGGCTACGGTGGCTAAAGTGTTGGACAGTGTGCTTGATTCAGAACTTAGTCAACATCTCAAGATACAGTTCGGTTTTCGTCCAGGTCTCTCTACGGAAAGTACGATACTCAGTCTCAAGCACACTATGCAATACTATACAGAGAGAGGTACACCTGTGAATGCATGCTTCCTAGACCTGTCAAAATCTTATATGTGTCCTGTCAAAATATGGGGGTAGACATGGTCTAATTTATAACAGTTAAAAAAGTGTTAACATGGTTTTTAAGTCACGCGTACATCAAGAGTGCCACCTGTAAAACTAAATGAAGTTGAAATAAAGAAGGTTCACGAATTTAAATATCTTGGGCTACTGTAGTGCTTCTACCATGTTTATGGAAGTGAGAGTTTATGGCTTCCATGCCATCATACGCAAGCGTACAGCCTCTTTGCTAAGAAGAGTGCGGGACAGTAACAATAGCATCCTATGAATCATAGACAATAAATATGACTCGACTGTAATGAAAAGCCTGGTCAGAACGTTACTGCATTAACCTTAACAATAAATGGTAATAGTAACACTGTAGACTATTAACGTTGGTTAAAAAAACTGTACACTAACACTATGGACTCTATCTGAATAAATAAAAATTATTATTATTATTATAATAGGCTCACCCTATCCCACGGTATACAGGACCTTTTTTTAATTTTTTTACGGGGTGGAAAATCCCTCCCGATCTCCGGCCGTTTTGTTGTCCGGTCAATGGCACTGTTCGGTGCACCGGTGTGGCTGTGACCGTCCAGAATAGGGCGCGCCTCTGGTCCTCTGTCCATCGTTGAGTGGGCATCGTTGAGTGGGCAGGGTGGTTCCCGGATCTCACCTATTACAGGCGCAGAGTGGCACACCGTGCGTTTTTAGTCGAGTCCGATTCCGACACACCACTCGCCGCAAACCCCGGTAGGGCGACGGCCCGAAGAGGTTTCCAAACGTAAAACAATAGTAATTTAAATCCCTATAGCCAAGTGAATATAGTGGGCATGTGTGTTAATAGCATACACACTTCTTTACAAGTATGTTATTTTATTTATTTTATATCAATTATGTTCTTTCAGATCGTACCACCATTCAGAAAGATTTTGACTTCGTTTCCCTTCCTCGCTATGGTTGTATTACATTACGGCAGCAATTGGGGCTTGTACTTCGTGATGACGGCCGCACCAAAATTCGTGTCAAGTGCTCTCGGTTTTAACCTAACGTCAACCGGAACACTGTCCTCATTGCCGTACCTCGCCAGAATGATATTCTCTCTCATATTCGGAGCCATCGGTGACAGGTACGAAACCGGATTATATTTAAATTAGACACACTGTTTAAGTTGTGAAGTTTTAATTACATAGGTTATTCGCTAAGCTGCGATACGAGGCTTGATTAGAAGCATTGCCACTAATAAGTTAACAATATTACGTCATTACACACATTTTAAGTACACAAGTTAAAATTGATAAAATAATTATTGTTTATACTGCATTACTCTGTAATATACTATAATGTGTGTTTCAAGATTTTTTAATTCCAAAGGACATATTTGATGTCATTGTGAAGCAATTGTGATTTATATACTTCTTGCTGTAGGTTGATCTTTAATGGACAACAATAGAAGAACATTACTCTGCGGTTTCGTTTGTTTAGAAAATGTTACTTGGAACCTTCCGTTTCGTTGAGCGAACATTGTAAGTTTAATGTAAATGGTACTATACAAACCTTGTCATTTTATTTAAGTATTAATTGTTTTATATTTCCTAAAAGCATAATTCTATGGAGAAGCGTGTGTATGACGTACATTTATTTAGGGCCGGATTATATGTTTCACATTTATTGCTTATAAAAACGTAAATGGATAAAGTGTTCCTTTGAGTAAGAAGTAATGACGCAATAAGTAAGTAAGTAAGGTGTCCATGCATTGTATTGTGAGTTTTTGCGCTCCGTTATGATAAAATCATTTATTAAAAAATCTCAACAGCGTTGTTGCGTTTATGATAAATAAATAAATGAATTAGTTTTCTAATGCTCTTGTGGGTGTGAGATGACATATGAACGTTTTGAAGTTAATGTATACTAGCCTTTCCTAGAACTATATGAGGATCTCATACGATACTCTTTAGCTAGGTATATATTTCGTCTTTTTTCTCACATCATTATTACTTATGCGACTAACCCTATTTGACAGGAAAATGAAGAATTAAAGAGAATGTACCGCATGATGACCTCTTGGCTGCTCTGATGCGTCTTTTAATAGACTTTCGTTCGCATAGACAATTTTTTTTTTATCCATATAAATATGGTGTTAAAATAATATAACAATTTTCTTTACCTCATTACTATTATAATATTATGGACAACATAAATGGTGTTACAGGATCGTGAAACAAAACGTAGTCTCCACGACGTTCATGAGAAAGTTCTTCTGCCTGTTCTCTCACGTCGTGCCAGGTCTTCTACTAATCGCGCTGGGTTACACTGGTTGTGCGCCCATCCTTTCCGTAGCTCTCATCACCTTCTCCATGGGCTCGAATGGAGCTGCCACCCTTACTAATCTTGTAAACCATCAGGATCTGGCACCAAACTTTGCTGGTACTCTGTATGGTATTGCCAATGGAATCGGAAACACCGCTGGATTTGTTACGCCACTCGTAACTGCTTACTTTACCAAAAATGGGGTAAGTCTTTTTCAGCCTTAAATGAATTTATTTGTGAGTAAATAAAATATGTTATTTTATTATTTAATAAATAAATAAATATTAAGTATTTATATCCACATCGTACACATCCAAAGTATAAGCATACGTTTGGCTATTCATCATCACTACTCTTGCAGTTTTGTTGGCTTCGGGATCCCATGATTTCTTTAAGAAAATATACTGTTTAATTCGAACTACAAGATGCGTTAGTACATGTATATGTAAACATGGAAACTTTATAGTATACAAATGTAGTGCTGCTTAATTGGCACGGACTATACAATTGATGGTAGCAAAGTATAGTATGGCTTACCAAAACTGTACCTTGCTACCACCAACCATCTTACTTATAAGAAGTAGTAGTTTTTTGAGGCAATACCACATACGAAACAAAGTCTAACACACGCCTTTATATGTTTTATAAATTTTCTTCTATCTGTGGTTTCAGAACGGTTTCGCAGAGTGGCGTCCAGTATTCATAACAGGAGCGTCGTTGTACATTGCGTCAGCCTGCTACTTCATTTTATTCGGCACTGGCGAAACACAATCATGGAATTACGTGGCTCCTGTCGAGGATGAAGAGGACAAAAGACCACCCGAGACCAGAGAGGAGAATAATACGGACACAACTGTTACGGTTGCACCTAAGACATAGACGACGGCATCGTAAATAATTTCGGTCCATGCTGCAGGTCTCGCATGGTATAACGTGACAAGAAAAGGAAGGATTCATTACTCGAATGGATTAATTTAATAATGTCATATCATGGTAACTTATGCTGTGAATCCCGACTTAACTCGGCTGACAAATATCGTCGACTTTAGGTTTTCTTATTTATAAGTTGTTTTAAGTTTGTATTAAATCGCCATATTACATTTTTTAACGGTTAATAAAATAATACAAATAAATGCAGACTACCGTTTTACCTGGCAATGTTGTATGGTTTTCATTCCATGCCATCAATCAAGTACTGATGTTCCTTTTATGGTTTTTAGTATTAATTTATTACATTTCATTTATAGATAAATTGGCAATATTCATACTGTATTATACTCGTATGTGTCATCAGCAAAATTTTACATAAAGAGAACTATTTTATTTATGAGACTGTGAAGAAAGTTTAATGTTATTTTTCCAATACATTACATTCGCATAATTAAGTAAGTAATGGTTTTAAGTTTTGAAAGTGACGATATCGGAACTCTATATGCATAATAAATAGGTGTTAGTTGTTATGTGTAATATAAAGGGGTCTAAGGTAAATCAGTGGCAACACCTAATGAGAACATCATGATTCTAAGAACCGTCCTGAGGATTTACTTTTTCATAAATTTTATAGCAAAATGTAAAAATGTTATTTTATTAATTGATGTAAATATAAATCGTTGAAGCACATTATTGTATTGATACACTTGGTAACATTTGCTACAGGGTACAAAATAAAATGCAAAAATATTTATTGATCTTTTTATACTTTGAATTGAAATTAAAATTTTGTAAAATCAATTAACTGTGTTAAGATTTAGATTATAGTAGTATTTAGTTGCCTTAAAAATGACTAAGAATTTGTTTGATTATTAGAATTTTTTGTATATTAATGAAATATTTGTACTACTTATGATTGATTAGTAATTACCACTTTTATAAGCTAATTTTCAGTTTAGGTTTGTTTTATTTATGACTGTGATGATAATGATGATGAAAGTATATTATGATAATTTTCTGAAGAAAGATTAAATTATTTTCTAACGGATATGTTGTTTTTGTTCCACTCAAATATTATAGTTGTGTGGTAAATAAAGCCATTAGTAAGTTCGCGAGAAGCCGTTGGATGCGGGTAGTATAGGGGCTGTTGTGACGAGCCTTGGCTGCCACAAGTTCAATCTCAGCAGAATGACGTCAACTGCTGGACATAGGCCTCCGCCTGCCTTCGCCTGTGTCCAGCAGTGTACGTCATTCGCCTGAAATGATGATAATGTGGTAAACATGGTTTGATAAGAAATGTAATTCCTTCCTGATTAGTACATGTAGTAAAAGTGTACCATTTGTTGATAGGTTTAGGTTAGGTAGGAAATTTTTGTATATTCAGAGTGAGAGTATAAGTATTCGAAGCAGCAAAACCTTATTCCTGGATGTATGCATACTTATGCCGTGAAGAATACAAATACTATAGTTTATTTATGATATAAATGCTAATACAAATATCCACTACTAATAAAATTGTAAGACCAATCCAATTGCAGAAAATGCAATTACATTTACTACAATGTCAAAAAAAACACACACATCACAAACACTATTCCCTTATCCCCGTTAGGGATACGAACAAACGCCATATACCACGAACGTGACTTCAGCTCGCGCCTCTCCAATATTTATCCGGCTTTTCATACAAGATCGTTTTTCACTGCTTGACATAGGCCTCTTCTTAGAAAGGAGGTTTTGGTCTATTATACCACGTAGGCCAGACGGTTTGGTATAGGGTTTGTTATAAGTTGTCCACTTTGCAGTGCCAGGGACAACAGTCCTTCGTAGTTTGCTCCCTTAGTCGGCTCTTACACACCCACGGGATGAAAATTTTGTAATATGAAAAATGTGTTAAGATTTTGATTGTAAAAGTATTAAGTTGCCTTTAAAATGACCAAGCCATTTTTGGATTATTGGATTTTTTTATATATAAATGAAATTTGAATGAAAAGGGACTCTCCGTATTATTAATCCGTCACAACTCGGACTCATTTTAAATATTTCAAAGTAATTAATTACGCTTTGAATGAATATGTTTCGTAGACGCTCAGCCCCTTTTATAACTTTGTGGTCCTTAGATAAAGTTGGGTATAACAGAAAAATGTGTTTCTAAAATATTTTTATATACACATTATTATTGTATTGTCATGTCGAGTTATTGTGTGAAAAAAGGAATTAATAACGTAGCGTCAATTTGATGCGAAACTTATCTTGACGTTACCAAGGCTACCTCGTTACTAGTAGAAGGTAAAGATTTCTATGTAGTTGGGACTCGTGGGGTTACTTACACTCCTCAATAGTTATAATTTTGTAAGAGCGGTTTTTTTTAAATTAAAAATCACTAGGTAATTAAAAAAACAGTTTAATTAAAACCATTTAATATATTTTAATATAAGTGTAGGTACAATATATCATACATTATATACACAGGCAGATTTTAATTAATAATATCTTCAATTATATTTTATATATTCAGATATAAATGACACATGAAAGTCCGTTTATTTTATATCCAACGCTAGGCATATAAAATAGGAATATAAAATAAGTATAACATTCCAAGTCAATGTTTATAAGATTTTATATATTAAATTTTATTTCTTTTTAAAGTGTTAAAATCAATGATAATAATTTAAATTGTATATTCTGCGGTTGTTTTAGTTTCATTCAAGCTAAAAGAAAATATTTAACATACAATCAGTAGCATCGCTATAAACATCTATTGTTAGGTACATTACGACAAATATCTAATATTATATTGTTATTAGCGAATGATTGGTATATAAACGTCCTATCTTAAACAAATGGTTAAGGACAAAATAATAAACATCCCATCGATACGTCCATCTACATAATACCATTAAGTTTGAAACTATTCTTACGTCTTTGGAATTACATCACCAAAACAACTCTGGTTATGGTCACATATTATCATTTTTAAGGCGGGATTCACAATATATTCCTTAAAGAGTCGCTACAAATAATCGCGTCTTAAAATTAGTAAGTAGTATACAAACTGGTTCAAAACGTTAAAGTCTAAAGTCGAGATTATTCTAAGTTTCTAACGAATTTTGTTCAAAACAGATCATAATTAATTTGACACATTATTATTTTAAAATATATTTTCTTTTAAATAACTGAATATTACATTTGTGCTTAGACAGTGTTTATACGTATGATTCAGACTCGGTATCTGATTCAGAGACGTCCAGAGCGATAACGTTGTTTTGCCCCTTTTTATCAGCACCGTTTGATGGCTCCCTGTTAAGTCTGGGCACAGATTTAGATCGTAAGTTCTTATCATCCTTATTTACGTGCACTGGCTGGAACTTCTTGAGCACCCTCTGGTACACAATTTTTCGTGGTGGGACTGGTGGAGGCATATGCGGCGGTTTCTTGGTATGCTCTTTCTCCGAGTTGTTGTACTCGGGTTGAACGGCTGTCGGCGTCGCTTTGTAAATATCAGAAGAGAACATGTTAGTAGACTTCATGTTGTGAAATATGTCCCTTCGACGGTTGTATACTGACGTGTAGAGAGGGTCAATGTATTGTGTGGTGTAGCAATTTTCAAAGGAATTCTCACTTGCTGGCGACTCCGCCGATCTGCTGCTATAAGAATTTTGTGGCTGATACAGCGTGTCACTACTGCTGGAGTCACTGTGAAGTATAATGTTCGCCAACGACTTAGATTGATTGAGTTTATTGGTGTTGTAATTACGTAGTCTTGATTTCTTGCTTTCTTCGGTGTTGTTATTATGGATATTTTCAACGTATGAATAAGAATTTTGTATCGGGTTCATGTGTTTTTCCTGTTCTCTGTTAGAGTTTGGCTGTACAGAGCAGCTTTTTGTGCACATATGTGCTGGATCAAATCGTCGTTTTCGACAACAATTTGTAACATTAACTTCGTAGTTACCGTTGCGCATTTTTTCTGAATTTGAATTTATCTCTTCACTTACTTCTAAGCTTTTTGTCCTCGCAGCTTGACGAGTCCAGTCATTTCTTGTAAAAATGGTGGCTGCCGGTGTAATATTTCCATCTACTTTGCTTTGCGAGGTCTCACCTTGGCTATTAGTCATAAGTCCATAGATGCTCTCTGAAGGGCAGTTACTCGACTTATTGTTATAATTAGCGCTCTTTTTCTCCCAGCCCGTGTACACTCGTGCGTAGTTTGTGTTAGATACTGTTTCTGTATGAGTCTGATATTGATTTTGTCTTTGAATGTTTTCTGTAAACAATGCCAGATCATGTATATTGCTGTAAACTATATTTTCTTGACTAGAAACCAGGTCCCGTTTACTGTCGATATTTTCTTGCTTCGATTCTAAAAGATTATCTGAACTCTTGGCTCGGTTAAATTTTTTATTAGCTTCATTTTTATTTGCTTCTTGAGTTTCAGCAAACATGCTGTAAACCTTCGATGTGCGGGCTGCCTTAGACACATTACTTCTCGGTGGTTTTTGGGGCTCTAAACCAGTTATATATTTCGCTGGGCTTTGTTCGTAGATTTCAGCTGTCGAACGTTGAAGAGCTGTTTTGGATACATAATTTCTTTCATCTATACCGTTAGTGATTCCAATGTTAATAGAATTATGGACATAGCGCTCTCCTAAATACGGCGTTGTATATAACTCCTCGTTGACAGTACTGTAAAGATCGGATTTGTTGGAATATATGTTCTGCCTCTGAGCAATCTGAGGAAGTCTGTTTACGTTATGGTTATCAGTAGAGTACTGCATCATTAGTTTAGAATTCTGCTGCATATTGCATGTGGGCGCCGATAAACTGTGAAGGATATTTCGTGGTGCAGGACTATTTCCTCCGTTGCTATTCGAATCATCTTCCGAAAGTGTAAGACCTGAATCTCGGCTTAGTGATAACTTTTCCTTACGTGGCGTAGACAATTCCATTGAGTCTAAAGATATACCAACAGAATGTAAACTGTCGCTTTCTTCAGCTCCCGAATCCAATAAAGCGTTTGAGGTTTCTGGGTTGCCATTACCCAACAGACCTATAATCTGGGGTCCAAATAAAGCTTCAGCTTTAATTATTAAGAGCTCTACAACCATTGGCACTGCTTTGGGAGCTTTGTCACAGGGTGTATTGGGCCACAGAAGACTTGGTCCAACACATACACCTAAGTTCATAGGGCACATGAGGTTAATGCTGGATTTCTTGGCGATAGCTTGAAGAAGGCAGATAAAGTACATCAGCATTGTATAGTGTGATTTAGGTAGCTTGAGCAATAGAGACCGCACAGCTGCCACTTTTTCGTTTTGTGATAATGCTGTAACAAAAAAAAGTTTTAATCGATTGCTTATAAGTTTCTAAGGAAGGATAAATAGCACCATGACCAGGATAGAATACTTACTGAGTACTTGTAGCCATGCAGGGTACAATTCAGACGCGAGTAGTGGCTGTGGTAAAGCACGGAAAAACTCCTTGACGAGTGCAGCCAGAAGCAGCACCGGTGCTCGTTCCAGCTCTGGGCATCCTTCTGCCCATGGCCCCAATGTATCCAACTGTTAATAAAGAAAATTCTTGATAACATTACCATAGAAGATGATGATGCTTTGAAGAGTTTAAAGGCGTAGAGATTAATCCGCCCCGTATGAGATTTTATTAAAAACTTTGAGCAAAAGAAACTTTTTTTTATTCTTCTAACATTCTTTCTTTGCGTTTCTTATTATTTCTTTTGTATTTTATATTATTTCAGTTTATTGTACAACATTATGTTTTAACAATATCTGTCTAATCATTGCGATCGTGGTTTGCCAACTCTGTCCATCTGTCCCTTATTCTGTCTTGTGCTGATTATTTCCTTTAGATGCTCGCTACAATTTTTATTGTTTAACATGCTATTAACGAAGGTCTTCACAAAGCCTAATACAGTTACATGACAATAAAAATTTAGGTATTAAACCAGAGCTACCGGTCATTCCGAATAATTTAGTAGTCGTGTGTACGGAATTCTAAGCATTTTATTCCATTTTTAGCCGTCGGAGTCGGTGATATGTTTCTTTCTGTTAGACAATCCACTATATCTAATATCAGTTTGTTTAGATGTCTTATTGAGATATGAAATCAAAATACAGTACATGTAAAAAAAATAATTAACAGTGAGTATAATAGTATATATATATACTAGTATAGCGTAAAATGACGCAAGATTAAAAACCCAAATTGTTTCATATTGTTTTTTTACCAATTTTGGCAAAAATAAATCTTATAATTCCAATAATTTATTGATATAAAACCAATATCTCATACATACCATATGCGATTTGCCATGCCCATTGTGAGATGCCTTATTACATAGAATTATTGATTAATTTGTAAATATTTGCATACATTTTCTCAAATAATCTTACCTTATCTCTCAATAGTCTCAGGGCTTTAGCGTTAGCACTCCTGCGGAAGACTCCATGTGTATTAGGCGCGAGCGCTCGAAGTCTCCGTAAAGCTAGCATGAGCGCTGGTGGCACGACGCCGCCGCACAAGCGTGTCAGTGCCACGCCAAATAGTCGCCCTCCTCGGCGGAGTAGACGTAGGCCACGCCCACCCTGATTTCCGCTGTTGACATAGAAGAATCAAGGGGTTAAAGGCTGCTTACACTGAATACAATCTTAATTCTACTACTCGTCTCAAGAGGATGTTTAAGTTTTAAAATCGCATTAGATAACACTTTTAAACACAGGACTTTGTGTATGCCTATAAGTCAAATACATTTTTTCTTACAGTTATATAACAGTACTATTAAACCCACACCAGAAATAAACCACTAGCGAATTAAAAATACAATCAACCTGCGTCTCTGTATTGACAAATATTTTTATTAGTTATTTACATTTGTAGGAAAAACAAGTTTCATGATAAAACTGTTCAAAATATGATAGATGTTTCTGAGTGATTTTTATCCCAACCACTATGAATAAACATCACAAATGAAAACAAGATAAATTGAATGCACTGTACACAAAGAATGCATGTCTTTTTATTAGATTTACTTAAAAATATTGGCTCACGTGGGTAGAGTGCGGTATGGTATGGTCATAATATACAATCAAGTCAGATGTGTCCTATATTGTAGCCAGATCAGGAATCGTACCGACATAAATCGTTTTCACAGCCTGACAAAGCTGCACATTCTTTATTATTTAAAAAATGTAACTGACGATCCCCTTATATCTTTGTAAAACTGATATAAAACGATGCTTACTTTTTTAATCCTTGGTTCTTCTTACGCAGTTCGAATACTAGTCCACAAGGATTATTTTTCGCATTAACGTGCTCCAAGTCAAATCCGTCTTCATTTGATAATGTTTGCCTTATTCTAGACATCTGAAATGGAAAAAAGATTTTGTTTAGAAATTAAACTAAGGCACCTATTGCAGTTCATTGTAACAGAAGTCTTATTTTAATCCGAGTCACTCACGTAGTGACCAAATTCGAAATCAAAAGTAAAAAGTTAATGAAAATGATCACATGAAATTCAGTGGCACACTAAGTTTTTTATACGACCAGGCAAAAAAATTACAAATATGTATTTAGAATTACATAATGAAGTAATTAAATTATAAATGCATTTGTAATTATATAATTAAATTATTTTGACGTAATTAACATGAACAAGTTAATTAATATTTTATGCACACAAATTAATTTTAAAACTTTTACTTTAATATGTATTCAGTTTATTTAATTGTTTGCTATAATAGCATCTGTGTAATTTAATTACCTGTATAGCATGAGGCCTTTCAATACCACGCAGTGGTGTCGGTGGTGCATCTCTTCCCGTTCTCACACAAAGAGTGAATTCATTAACAGCTCCCCATCTTCCGTCTCCCTCATTATCCCCCTCTCCTTCATGATCTTCTGCTTCTGTACTACCATTCTGGAGAACGTGCAACGCTTGACGAACGACGCACCGTGCACTCATGTCTGGATTCACAGACACTGTCTTACACTGTAGAAATGTATTGATTTTTTAACAAAAAAATGTACAGAATTAGATCTAGCTGATCTAACTCTAATCAAATAAGTAATTGTGTTATGATCAGCCAACTATAATACGGTGAAAGAGGAAATACTCACAAATTCAATCGAACTTGTCATATCTTTGTAGAAAATTTGTATATTTGTAGACTTTGGTTCTGTGGCCAGTTGAGCGGTTAAGGCATTTTGAATTTTCCTGCAAAGAAATATATCGAGTATTAAGTTTTCAATAATAACGGTCGGTTATTCTTAAAACAAATTAACAAATTTATACAATCACTGAACTGTCAGTATTGTCAAGAAGTTAATACTGGTGACATGCAAGGCATCAATTTGGGTCTATCATTATTTTTGCAATAGTATTTTTATACCTACCTATACCAAGTGTCTCTCGCAGCCTGGGTGGGGTAAGTGGCAAGATAGTTCGCAACACCAGCGACAGTCGGCCATCCAAATAGAAAACCTGTGTCATCGCCGTCATTCAACGATATCCATATTTCGGCAAGTCTAACGCTCTCCTTTAATTTAAAGCAGTTTGTCCCTCTCGATTTTCCAACGAGTACTAAATCGCTAAAGAGGAATAAATGGCGATCTAGCGGTGGGGAGGTTGTGCCTAGAGGGCTAAGTTGGACAGGTGCTTCCATGATGAACGTTCGCGGTGAAAGGTTTGTGCTGCTGGCACTAATCGGGCCTCCGATATCCAAGCTCGGTCGTTTTCGTAGGCTCTTTTGTTTCTGGAACAGAGTTATGTCATGTTTTTTAATCAGTGCCCATGTCGTACCTATGCATGTAGCGGAAATAAACGGGTTTTAAAATACTTACCACTAATCTCTTATTATTGCCTACAGCGACTACAAAATTTACTACGTACAATCAGTATACAATTTCTCTCGTTATATCTCCTATTAAGAGGTCATATATGCAACTGGGATGATAATCCACATTTGGACACGTTTTATCCTCTTCTTGGAGATATTTAATGAATGATTTCTTTAATAAGTGTATCGTGTATCTAGGTATAATGATCTTATATGATTGAGTTACCTGTGCATGATGCGAGGCCAGTGCTGCGGGCGCGTCCGCATCGTGAAGCGCTAGGTAATCGTGCGGAAAGAGATCCTGCACGCGTTCCAAGTCCGAAAGACGCGCCGCGCGACGACGCGCGCATCCTCCACCTACAAGCCGCTCGTATTGCGCCAACCGCTCGATCTAATTAAAGAAAGAGAAAATAAGTTATCACCAGTTCACGGACAACAAAATCTAAATTAACAATACTTTACATACTAGGTTATTCTCTATTTTTTTAAACCTGCCGTTAAACGTAGTTAATAAACTTAATTCTATAGACAATTTTTTTAAATCTAAGTTATGTAACAGTTTTATCTAATCGTACCAAAAAACAAGGAACAAACGTACGCGCATCTTGTTACAGTGTAAAGTAGGTTAAAGTAATCGCTTTCAAGGGTGAATGCCGTGTTTAGTTAATTAATAACGACACTGATATGCGGTTCTACAGTATGTGACATCGTTGTCATATAAAGTGCCTCAAGGGTTATGCTCATATCCGCTCAAGCATATACTATTATTTATTAAATTCATCTATTGAAACGAAGAAAGTAATCTAAATTCTTATCGCGTCGCAGCGGAATCCTGAGGGTGCTCACGACGAGTCTCTCAACCGTATCCACGACAATAGCTACCTTATTATAACAGGACAAAGGATCGTGAGAATATTACCAGCCATTGTGTCCAGCTTACATCACATATCCTCAGGCAAAAGTGTATGTGTGTAACGAGTGTATCTCTATACAAATATTCTTTTAACATACAGCGTGACCTCTGTGAATGAATTGCCAATCTTAAGCGGCAGTGATGGCTATTACCTTGTAAAATATAAGCATAAAAAAAATTACATTAATAGATTATAAATATATTACGCTGTGTATTTGAGACGAGATTTCAATTTCTTCTTTTACAATTGTATCAAACGATTGGGTTTGTTTGAACCTGTGTTCAATGGGTCGTAAAACTATGAGTTTGCGTCGCGACTGAAATTAGACTGGTCGGAGTTGCGTGTTGAGTCTTCATATTCCCTCAGTGATCTTAGTGTTAACTTCTTATAAGTCTTGCCATGTATTTTTGTATTTACAATAAGAATCACATCACATTTTTTCCTTCTTTTTGCAGTGCTGTTGTCCTGCGTTGTTTTGCACACTTAGTCGGCTCTTACGACTTTAACTGGATGAATAAGGGTAGTGACATTCCGAAGTCAATACAAAAACAACGTAACAAGTCAGTACAAAAACAACGGACAATACAAATATTTTTACAAAAATAATCACTTACAAACCACTTATATGAATGAAAAAATATTAGGGCCGGGGTTTTAAGACAAATCAATGTTGTATTTTTTTTTTCGCCTACAGATTGGTAATTGTAGACACAAAAACCCATTGGATCATTATTAACTGCACCATTAAGGATACCATACCATGTATTTGAGTGACGTACTTGTACTGTAAATAATTACATATTAATGTGCGCACAACAGTGACGTGACGCAATTGAGATGATTTTCATTTGAATGGACAGGCGGACAGCGCGACACCAGTACCGTTACAAGATCTTTGTACACAGATTAAGCCAACAAGTACCAACGTCATTATGTATCAAACTACCATCCTACATCGTGGGGATTCATATTTCTATATGACTCTAAGACAGGGCAAAATAACATTCTCAGTATTGCAAAACTTGTACTGACAACCTTTTTATATTTTTTTTAGGAATAACATAACTAAATCAAATAGCAGTACCACTATCACCTATCACTATCACATTTTAAAAGTTTTTCAGGTACCTGCTAAAGACTTATCTATTTCTTAGAATTATGTGAAGTTATAAAAGCACTTATTAAATAATAACACTCGAATCTTTTCAACCCTTGATAATGTCCAAAGATTTTAGAAGCAGCTATTCAACGTTTAAGGTTTATTTTTTTCAAAACCAACAACTTAACGAGAGATTAAGGGTTTTTTGTAATCATACTGTACAAATATTTTGTTTTTGAGATAAAATAGAAATCCAAAGCTGATTATAAATCTTGTGTCAAGCGTGGAGATAGTGTGTTTATTTCTCAATGAACATGTATTTCATTTCGAATTATTTTTTCAAATGCGAGTTTCTTCCAGAGCATCACAAACACACATGTTATCTATGAACGTGTTACACGGAACTGCACTTTCTAAGTCAAATATTTACTTAAGAGTAAGTGGGTTCAAGCGTAAGTTTTTAGATAAGAAGTGAACTGTCCCAAGTGGAGATAACCTGCGCGTGCTGCCACACCCGTGCCCGCCTGCGCTTTTTACAAATTATCTTTATCTACTCGTTTTAAGTTTTTAGTGGACAGTAATTCGTTTCTTAAACCTTTTCAAGTGACCTAGTATTAATATGTTATAAAGTGAAAAGGCCCTTGACACTTTTGAAATGTGTGTTCATCTATGTGTTTAACAATTTATGTAAAGAATAGTCATTGTTTTGACATGCGCATATCAGGTGGCAGTCGCTGCATGGGTAGATTAATATTTAGATATAGCTAATTAACTCACGTACGTATTTTAAGTAGGTATTTCTAATTAAAAAAAACCAACAATTCTTTAATAAATAGAAAGTCACTACTTTTAATAAAGCAGTTAGGATATCTCAGCTGCCTTTAAGTTTATTTTTATTGTAGTTTTGCATGTTGATCCAGATAGTCAACCTTTGTAATCATGCCAAGGTCACGATCTTTTCTAAAAATAAGTTATTTCTCTTAATATAATAAAACAAAGCACTTTTTTTCTAAGTAGATACATATATAATACGTCTTATATATCAAAACTTTGAGGATTAGAAGTGACGCAGCGGCGAAAACCAATATTCTTAATGAGATTACTAATTAGTACCTAGTAAGCAAGCGTATCGTCTTTATATAACATATCGCTATAGAGATATTGCGCAAAGGCAGTTCAAAGCTGTCATCGGGTGTTGTATCTGGACTTATATAATAGCTCCGTGCAATTGATAACTAAAATTAGATAATGTTTACATGTAAAAAACAAGGCTGCGTACAACATAAATGATTAGCTGGCCATCATATTTCCTATTGGATGTTTGTTATATGGTCTGTTACGTGAATTACTTACTTATGTATCGATTATAATTACTTTGCTTGTAAATGCAAGTTTGAAATGAATACTGTCTGTCTTGGTACCAGTGCCAAATATTATAATTATGAGTAAATGGCGGCTAGTTAGTTTTATGTGCTTTATGTAATTTAAGTCTCGTGGTCGTATTGTACGTAGTCAGTGCAAGCGGTGTAGGACTTAATTTTATTAAACAACTAACTCCTATGCAGCTTACAAATATTGTTCAATATGGATTTTAAACACAATTTGTTATAAAATATATGTATATTTTGGTACTTAAAAAACTGTTAATAGAAAGTAAAATAGAAAAATGGAACTTAAAATACGCTCCCTTTTTTGAATTGTTTAACGACTCCTGTAGTAGTACTAAATACCTACACACATAATTGAAGAGAAAAGAAAAGGTGAAAATTAAAGCGAAAATAAATTTATGAAAAACGGGATTCAAAACATTTAACAACTGTGACTGAACCCTCAGCACTAGTTTCTTGGATATGGACCATGTAGGTATATCCTAATTAAAATATTTCACGTATACAGCCTTTATATAAACATAATTAAATAAAATTTAAACGGTTGCAATTCCATATCATTAACAGTCAGTCTCATTTAGGCCAAAAATGCAGACATTATTAGCAAAAGAGCGATTTTCACTTTGCATAAGCTTCAGAAGCGCCATAATTACATCGGCATTATCACTTGACGTTGGTTCTTGAGGCAAATTTAGTACCACAAAGATTACGGTAATGTGGTATGCAAACCAATTCGCGGAACCCAATCACGGCGTGATTCCTTGAAGCTTTGATCGGAACAAGGATGTGCAGTATTACCACACGGTCGTGAGTACAATTTGTGCTGTAGATTCGCAGATATTATTGTTGCAAAGTTTAATTCTATGAATTTAATTGAATTTATAATCTTTATGCTTCTTCTCTAATTTTGAAATGTTTAGCTTGTTTTTTAAAGAATTATTTCTACGGGAATTACTACTTGCAAACAATAGACAACAGGTACTTTTATTTCAGCTTGAAATAGGACCGCCCTACTGTTTTAACCGTAACATGATAGTAGGTACTAGCGTTGTGCATTTTTATTTAGTGTTACAACGTGAGACGTATCAACATTCAGATGAAGTTCTGGGAACCTTACTCACACAGTGTCAACGCACAAATAAATGATATCGGGTACAACACAGTTTATGCACAGATACTATGAAATTTATATCATTAGGCGCACCTTAGCTTCTTTACAAACTTAGATGGAAAATAAAACTTTAATTATTGTAACTCAGCTTCTGTAAGAACAATCTTAGGGCAACCTGTAATTAAATATTTTTATCATATACTGCAATAAACTTTAAGCATACAATTGAATTTTTTCGATCGTAAATTAATTTTCAACTTTGACATTTGTAAGCGAAAATTAATGCCTGTTACAGACAATCATCTTAAGAAATCCGAAAGAGAATGAGTGAATATTCATTATGGCATTCGGGGCGTTATCAAGATATGTAGTGGACTACATACTTGCAAAGTTTGTCCGGAATATTGAGCACGAGTACTTAGTTATCGCAACGACATCGCGCGGGGCCGCCCCGTATCGTCCACGATCATTATGTGCAAAGAGGAGCTCACCTAATACTGAGCATCGCTATACTTGATGGAGTCCAATTTGTCGTGTTACTTAGGACGGTACGGTAAAAGGTATGACCTAATGGTCACCAATACCGAAAGCCTAAACCTTGTACATGAACCTTACCTAAGTGATTATAATTAAAAACCAATAATTGCTTGACCAACTCCGGTCACTAAATATACATAATTGCATATTGAGAAAACGTATGATTTGTGTTTGAAGCTTCTTTTACGATAATAGTTATAGATGAACGCATTAAATGTAGCGAATAGAAATAATAATTTCCAACTAGACGCCGATCGAAAGCTAGAGGTTCGGTAAGACAGCTGGCGTGAGGTTTAGAAATAGCACCGAAAGCAAGGAGCTCCGTGTGGCATCTTTTATCACATCACATTAGCAAGTGAATAGTCCACTTCTGGATATAGGCCTCTCCTTAGAAAGGAGGTTTAGGTCTACTATACCACGCTGGCCAGACATCTTTTATATTAAATACATATGGGTAGAACCTACACACGTCGCGTCACAGTTCCACCCCGCCAGCTGTTTATCCTAGTCTTTTTCCTTATAAGCGTATCAGGCTACTGACAGGCTTTGATCAAA